CGAGCGTCCGTGCAGTGGGTCACCCGCTGACTCGGAGGAGTGAACTGGTGAACCCCCGCATCATGTAGGTCAGCACCACTCACCAAGTTTGTAGAGAACGAGGGGAGGTAAAGACCAGACAGGGTGCCAGAGGGGGCCGCCGGACACGGGAGGACAGTGGAGAAGTGAGCAAGGACAGGACCCCCAGAGGGGTCTGCCAGGGAGACTGCAACTGGCCGACCAAGCGGCGTGAGTGTGGTGCGGTCTCGAAAGAAGGAGCGAGAAGCCCCCGAGTCAAGTGTGAAGGTGTGGGAGGCCGAAGCCGACGTAGTACCTGAGAGCGCAGACTCACCAGTACCGGAGGAAGCAGACACACTAGCACCTAGAGCAGCAGCCTAGCTAGCACCAAGAGCAGCAGCCTCACCAGCACCTAGAGCAGCAGTCTCAATGCCCGGGTCGGGCGGGAAACACCGGTAACAGTCACCCTCCTCACTAATAGACACAATATACATAGCACCAAGAATAGCATCAAAGTCAAGGTCAAAGATAACTACCCCTCACCTAGACAGCTCGCCCCAGCGAGGGATCTCAGTGGCCTCAGGGAACAGGTGACGCCAAGCGTCCGTCAGGCAGCCAAAGCAGCGCTGGGTAGGGTGCGCACCCCCACACTGCTCACCCGCACGGTCGCCGGTGCGCAGGACGTAGGTGCACGGACCAGTACCCCCACCCCGCTGGCGTGCAGCGTACCACTCACGGAGCTGCTGAGGGGAGAGGGTCTCCCGAATGCGCTGCTGCTGCTGGCGCTGACCACCAACGGAGCCACTCCTCTGCGAAGAGCCACGACCTCCTCCTCCTCCTCCTCCGCCACCGCCTCCTCCACCTCCGCCACCTCCACCACTTCTGCTCCCACCGCGACCGCCGCCGCCGCCTCCGCCTCCACTGCCGCCGCCGACACCTCCACCCCCGCCACCACTCCCACAACCACCCCCACCCCCTCCACTGGCTCCATTGCCGCCTCCACCGCCCCCGCTAGCTCCTCCAGCGCCCCTGCTCCCCTTGCCCTTGCCAGAGCGACGCTTCCCACTAGGGGTAGACGCCGCACCGACCGACTCCAGTCCAACGAGGTCGGCCGCAGCAGCAGAGGCAACAGAGGGCAAAAGAGGGGAGGGGGAACACCCCTTAAAGATTGGGGTGCGAGGGTCACCACGAGAGGCTCCTACAGCTACTATGCTCTTTTCTGCTGCTAGGAGGGCCTTCTCGAGGAGGTCAGCGGTGAGAGTGGTGGGGCAAACTGAGAGGAAGTGGTCCCTGACTACGCGAAGGGAGTCAGGGAGACGGGTGACTATGTAGTAGAGGGTGATGTACATGGGGGGGGGGGGGGGGGTTCTTGGCGCAGAACTCAGCAGGAAGCGCAGCATGGTAGCGAGTGTCACTAGTGCGGAGGTGCGTAATGAGGTCAGCGACTGTGGGAAAGGCAGCAAGGTCAGGGAAGAGGTACGGTAGCATGAGGCGGCTCAGTGCAGCAGTGGCAGGGGAGGAGTAGCGTGCAACTACAGCGTCGTACAAGGTCTGAGCACTCTTGTACTGGCTAAAGTGCGCACGCTCAGAGGTAGGCAGGTGGCGACGCACAGCAAGACGTGCAGCAGCATCGCGCGTGGCCCACTGTGAGCGAACAGTGGCGTCAGCATCAGCAGCGGGGGCAGGAGAGGCACCAGAAGTGAGGTCAAAGAGGGAGAGGCCGTCTGCCCTATCGCACTTTAAGAAAAGCTGAAGGTCATCTATCTAGACGTCAAAGTCAATGGCCCGACCCTCAGCATCAAAAGCGAAGACACTAGGGGTAGCCATGACAGTAGTAGACTAGCAGCGCAAACAGTAGGGTGAGGGCAGTGGTGTGAAAGAGGTGCTGCTCTTACCGGACAGGGCGGCTCGGGCAGCTCGGCTGCAGGGCGGCTCGGCGGCTCGGCTGTTGGGCGGCTCGGCGGCTCGGCTGCTGGGCGGCTCGGCGGCTGGGCGGCTCGGCTGCTGGGCGGCTCGGCTGCCGGGCGGCTCGGCGGCTGGGCGGCTCGGCTGCTGGGCAGCTCGGCTGCTGGGCGGCTCGGCTGCTGGTCGGCTCGGCTGCTGGGCGGCTCGGCTGCTGGGTGGCTCTGCGGGGCCGCTGGTAGGTGGCGGGGCCGTATTTAGGTGGCGGGGCCGCTGGTAGGTGGCGGGGCCGCAGGTAGGTGGCGGGGCCAGCAGGTAGGTGGCGGGGCCAGCAGGTAGGTGGCGGGGCCGGACAGGTAGGTGGCGGGGCCGCGGGTCGGTGGCGGGGCCGCTGGTTGGTGGCGGGGCCGCAGGTAGGTGACGGGGCCGCACAGGTAGGTGGCGGGGCCGCGTGTAGGTGGCGGGGCCGCTGGTAGGTGGCGGGGCCGCAGGTAGGTGGCGGGGCCGCAGGTAGGTGGCGGGGCCGCACAGGTAGATGGCGGGGCCGCGGGTAGGTGGCGGGACCGCTGGTAGGTGGCGGGGCCGCAGGTAGGTGGCGGGGCCAGCAGGTAGGCGCCGGGGCCGCACAGGTAGGCGTCGGGGCCGCAGGTAGGCGCCGGGGCCGGTAAGGGCGGCGTCAGGGCCGCAGGGCGGCGCGAGGGCCGCTGGGTAGGCGACGAGGCCGCAGGGCGGCAGATCGGGGCCGGGTAAGGGCGGCGCGATGGCCGCGGGGTAGGCGACGAGGCCGCCGGGCGGCGGGTCAGGGTCAGGAAGGGCGGCACGAGGGCCGCAAGGCAGGCGACAGGGCCGCAAGGGCGGCGCGACGGGGCGAGAAAAAAAAAAAGGGGGGGGGGGGGGAGCGCGACTCGGGCTAGGGCTAAGCACGCTCCGGGCAGAAAAAAAAAATGTCGAATTGGTGGGCCCTAGGAACAGTTCCCACGAGGGAACCTGCTCGATACCATGTGAGAATTGAAACGAGAATGAATGAACTATGAATGAATTGGGTACACTTACTAACCCTAATTGGGTTGTACCCCTTATGGGCTACCCCACTATAGCCTACACAATATGCATGAGCTATAATGTTCTGACAGTCGTCACAGGGTTACACCTTTAGCCTTGGTTCCGGCTCTGTTTCGTGGCGGTCTACCCGCTCGTCTTCTGTTCTCGGCTCCAGCTGTGAGGCTGAGATCTACGCAGGGGCCATGGCTGCACAGGACTTACGATGGCTCACCTACCTGCCGACTGACTTGGGAGAGCCGCCTCGTTCTCCTCTAGTTCCGTACGTAGACAACAAGGCCATGCTGGCCTTGTGTCGGGAGCACAGACTGGAGCACAGAACGAAGCACATTGCTCTTCGCTACTTCCTTGCTCGTGAGTTGTAGCAACGTGGTCAGCTGCGTCTTGCTTACGTGGCCTCTCAGGCCAACACTGCTGATATCTTTACCAAGGCACTTCAGCCTTGTGATCATCAGCGCTTTTGTACGATGCTAGGTCTTGTGCCTACTTTGCCTCACTTGCTCATTTCTTGACCTTGCTTCTACTGTGATCTCTCTATACCTGCACTTACTTGTTTACCTTTATATATAATCTTGCATGTGAACTGGCCTTGTGGCCTTGAACGTGTGCTCGGAATGTGTGGTGACGTTGTGATCCACCCAAAGCTTGCTTTGCTTTGCTTGATTGGTCTTGTGACCTCTTGTTCTCCCCCACTTTGCCTATGGGGGTGTGTCAAACATATATGCTATGGTCTATCTAGGCTGTAGTGGGGTAGACACTATAGGGTACAACATTTCTAGGTTTCCTACTTGTACCCACATTCTGCGTAGTCATTTCATTCCTCGTTATTTCACACAGGCTGTTCCGGAGTGCCAGGTGCTTGAGATTGTGCTTGTTGTGCTCGTGTGAGATCATTTTGCAGGGACGAGCGTTCTGCCATCAACGTTGCGATTTCTTCGGCGCTCTGGCAGATTTGCCGTAGCAGTTCGTTAAAGTGCTCCTGCGTGAGAGTCGTGACATCGATATGCTCAGCCATTTCGAAGGGCGTCGGCTCGTCTTAGTCTAGGCGCAGTCGTGGCTGCACGCGTTTACGAGAGAACGCGAGGACAGCGGCTCCTAGATGTCAGAATCCCAACCACTAGACCATTGGGATAAAAGGGCTTGTTAAGTAGCGGGTCAGTGCGCGCATAACCCCCCCAGGACAACGAGCCTGTAACCCTTCCCTAGGATCAATCGGACAACGCGAGGACAGCGGCTCCTAGGTGCTAAGGTGCGTGAGTCCCTTCGAGTGAAAAATCAAAAGTTGATTTCCTGGGGTGCGGAGATGCGCGGTCCGAGAAGGAGAGAGGCTCTGATACCAAGTGTTACGTGTGCAATGAATCGAAGTAGCAAGGATTGCACTAAGGTGTCAAACGAGTACAAAATGTGAGCGAAGTCATGAGCGAACATTTACACGCGAAACATGCAAACGGTAACGCGGTGCGTGCGAGTTAGCTAGTGCTATGCTGGCAGCGAGGCTCGGGCTAGTCCCGAAGCGTAGGCCGACACGGCCGGGCCAGCAGTGCGGGGTTTGGCAAAACAGTGCGCGCGAAGTTGGCGAAGCCCCGTTCGGGCGATCAACATGTAGTCGGACTCCGTAAGGAATGCCGAGAAAATTCCTACACCACACATGTTTTGACGGCGTGTTCCAGAAAGCGTACGATCCCACAATTCTTCGAACCATCCGTCTTTCCCAGGCTTCTGCGAAACACCCCGAAACGCTTGCCTGTTCTAGAAACGTCTGTAATCGGTGGTGTCGCCTATTGCAAGGCCAGCAACTGGCCACTCCGCCAACCCGCACACACTCATAAGCTCTCACACTCATACTCGTCCATGGACGCATCTGGATACATCAGTTTGGCGACCTCGCTATGGCAGCTGGGAGCAACCAGGGTGAGAAATCTGCGGCTTCTGGAGTAGAACCCTGCATCGCAGCAGCAGCAGCAGCAGCGGCAAACTCCAAGGTGGATAGCGACTGTGACCTGTTAAGGAATTTCGGCTTAGAACGGACTGCGACTGGCGCCATGGAGGCGGATATTATATCGAAGCAGATGGAGCAGCTTATAGCGGATGGAGAGGCAGGTGGCAGTGATCTGCGTTGCGGTGGCAGTGGCGCTTCAGAAGGCGAGGCTGTTCCTGGGGTCACAGACGAAGCTGCAGTGCGTGAGGTTCTTTCCAGCAGCCCGATGGACATTGACGTTGACGTAGACGCAGACGTAGACGTTGACATAGACGGAACGGACATGGCTGCATCCGCCAGGGAGACGTTCATCGCAAACAGTACGTGTGATTGTACAGAGGGGTGCACAGGGGGTGACACTATCGAGTTCCAAGTCACCTTCCGCGGGCAGCGCGTCTCCTTGCGCATGCATCCGCGCTCCCCGCTGCTTGCGCTTTCCGCGTGCCTGTGCGCGAAACTTGCGGTCGATTCCGCCACGCTGAAGCTCATGGTTCGCGCGCGCGCGCACTTGTCACCTTTCCGCGACCCCAGCAACGGCGCAGCGACTACCGGAACCGGGCTTGCGACCGCATCTGCGACTGCTGCGACGGCGTCTGCTGCCAAGTCGCAGGCGACGCCGTCCCTCCTGCGACTGAGCGACCCATCCGTCCGCCACCGCGCGCTCAGCGACGCGGGAATCGCGCACGGCTCGCAGGTCACTCTGCTGGCCTCCACCATCGCTGACGTGGCGGCGATGTCCGCTCTGCAGGCGGGCCCGCAGGCCGCCACGTCGCAGCGCGTGATCGGATTCGAGGAGGAGATCGAGCGGGCGATTCGGCGCGGCGCGGCGGGCGTAGGCGGGGGAAGCGGTTATAGTAAGAAGGAGCGTGTTGCTGTTCCCAAGGGCCCTTACACTTTTCACGACTTCCGCACATGGCAGCTTCCTGGAAGTGAGGTGAGCGGACAGGACGCAAGACCCGGAGCGTGCATCAATTAATAATAATCTCCCAGCCCAGCCTCGCCCATAGCTTCCCATACACAACACATCTCACTCCCCCTGCATCCCCTTCTGCCCCCATGCCTGTCTCCACCCACTCCCTTCCACACCACACCCATCTCACACGAACCCCCTCGTCCTTCTTTCGCCCCCGCCTTCCCCCACACGTCTCTGCACCCTGCGCCCTCCCCCCTGCGCCCTCCGCCCCGCGCGCCCCGCGTCTCCATGGTCAGATGCGCCCGCCTGTGTCTGAGGCGCTGGCGCTGCTGCAGCGCCTGGCAGCGGACCCGGGGATAGTGGCCGTCATGCACAAGGTGGGCAGGCAACCCGACGGAGATCAGTAAGTCAACACGAGGCAATATTGATGTGGGGATAGGTGCGAGGGGATAGCGTGAGGGGTTAGTGGCAAGGGGGCCTGATTTGTCACAGGTTTCAAGGGGGCAAGATTCCATGCGCTTGATGATCTCCGTAACATTCAAGCTAACTCATGTAAGCGTGGCTGCTCATTGCCACACTCGTTGATATATATATATCCATATATATGTGTATATACATATATATTTATATATATATCCGCAATTACGAGTCGTTCGTGGCTTCATCCATCCCTGCAGCCGCCTCACCCACACACCCTTCTCCACTCCCCCAACACCCCCCTCTCCCCCCAGCACCGCTGGTCTGTGCGGCTTTTGAGCGAGCTGCCTCCGGAGGGCCTCGTGGGAGTGTCGCCCGTGTGCCTGCTGGGCTTTAACAAGGTGGGAGCACCGCACTGGACTGCACCGAGCTCCACCCTACCGCACAGCACTCTCGTGCTTTGACAGAGTTAGAAGCAGTAGTTGCGCATTGGCACAGCCATGCTCGTGGTGGGTCGTGCTATTCCATTTCTCTGAGGTCGTCATGTTGGGTCGTCATGCTACCTTCTCCTTCTTCACCTAATCCCCCAACTCCACACGGCCATGCTGCCATGCCAACCCTCAACCCCCCTCTCCCCCCCATCAACGTGACGGCATGGGCGGTATTAGAACCGCGGAGAGGAGGTGTGTCTGCGGCTGCGCACGGACGACCTCAGGGGCTTCCGCAAGTACCTCGCCATCCGCCGCACTCTCATTCACGAGCTCGTGAGCACGGGGGGGGGGGGATTGGGAGAGGTGGGGAGAGGTGGGGAGAGGTGGAGAGAGGCGGGGAAAGGTGGGGAGAGGTGGTAGGAGCAGGAGAGGGACATATTGCAGCTGGGGAGGGGCTGAGGTTATTGCCTGTGAGGGACAGTCAAGGATCGAATCGCAGCAACAGGATGGTGCCATCTTTGGAGGCTGAACTTTCTCCCAGTGCTCTCCCTTCATTTACCAACCCTCTCCACTCCTCTCGCGCCTGCTCCTTGCCGCCCTCCCTTGGCTGCTCTCCTCCTGGCTGCTCCTTGGCTGTCTTCTGTACCACAGGTGCACATGGAGGTGGATGACCACAATGCGCAGTTCAAGGCACTCGATAGCCAGGTGAGTGTGCTCTGTGGATAGGAGGCATGTGAGGCATGCGTAGATGGGATGCAATTAAACTTTTTTTTTTTTTTTTGCCAGCTCTGACCCTTCTTCCAACTCTGCTCTTTGACCAGCCCTGAAGCCCTTTCCGAAGTTGCATTCTCAGCGTCTTCCTCTCGCCCCCTTTAACCCTGAACCTCCTATCCCCATCTTCTTCGTGCCCTCTCCCTCCCTCCATCCCTCCATCCGCCGTCCCTCCCTCCACCCTACCTTTCCTGCTCTCAACTCGCCCTCTTTCTGTTCCGATCACAGCTGAGCAAGGAGGTGGAGGCGTCAGACTGGACTCGCTCTGTCTCACACTCTACAGCTCCCCCCTCCGCCTCCCTCTCACACCTTCTCTCCAACCCCCCTCCCTCGTCCTCGCATCCGCACGTCACGACTGCTGCACCTCGCACGCTGCTGCCGGTGGCGCCTGCAGCACCAGCAGCTGCGGCGGCGGCAGCAGCAGCAGAGGCAAGAGCGCAGGCAGCACTTGCAGCGGCAGTGGCAGCGAGACGGGGAGGTGAAGCAGGAGCACCTGCAGAAGCAGCTGCTGCAGCTGCAGATTCCCTGAAAGGAAGACCACAATTATCCGCAGCAGCAGCAGCAGCAGCAGAAGCAGGCGGCACAAGAGACGGGAAGAGGACGAGAGGGTCAGCGCGGGAAAGAACAAGAGAAGCCAGTCAGAGTGGTGTCACTGGGCGGCACAGTGGGTGCATGGCAGCAGATGATTCACATGCGATGCAAGAAAGTGATGCTGCAGGGCATGCAGGGAGCACTCTGTTGTTGCAGCCCTGGGTGCAAGATGATGGCACCGATGGCAGCAGCAGGGAAGCAGGTAGTGCGCTTGGGTGTAAGGATGGAGGTGGGATTGGAAATTGTGGTGCTGGTGGAGGTGGGAATGTGGGAACAACTTCAGGAACAGCAAGAATAGAAGCAGCAGATATTGGGGCAGCAGCAGAAGCAGCGGCAGCAGGACCAGAAACAGCTGCAGCACTGGCGGTGGCAGCAGCAGCAGCAGCAGAAACGGAGGCATCAGCAGCAGAAACGGAGGCATCAGCATCAGCATCAGGAAAGGGAAGCGGTGGAGAGGAGCACATGGACATGGCAGCGGCCATAGGGGAGGAGGTGGCGCACGTGCATGCAGCATCGCATGAGGCATCACACAGGCTAGTGGCGCTGAGGGAGCAGCTGCGGCAGGAGGTTCAGGACTCACAGGAGTTCCACACTGCCCTCGCCACTCTCTCGCGCATTGTCAAGTGTGTGCCTTACCTTGCCCCAACCCGCTCCGCCCCAACCCACCCCGCCCCGCCCTGCCCCCCCAAAGCTCCGCCTCGCCTTGCTGTCTCAAACTCCTCCATTGCTGGACGTTGATTTGCTTCCTGCAGCCTTGTTGATATGTGCCTCTCTGTTCTCTCTACTGCCTTCCAACCTCCTTCCTCATTCGTGCTCCTTCTCTCCTTGCCCTCACTCTTCCCTTCACTTCATCCCCGTTCCTTCTTTCCCATTGCCATTCCTCCCCTGTTACAGCAACGCCAGGCAACACCCCCACGATACCAAGTACCACCGCATTCGGCCAGTGAGTTCAGTTCTTGCCATTTCCCTCACTCCTACTTCCGTGCCTCTCCACAGCATTTGTTGCACCAGCTCACTCATTTGTTTCTCAACTTCCCTTTCTACTTTTATGCGTGTGTGTGTGTGTGCGTGCGTGCGTGCGTGCGTGCGTGCGTGCGTGCGTGCGTGCGTGCGTGCGTGCGTGCGTGCGTGCGTGCGTGCGTGCGTGCGTGCGTGCGCGCGTGTGTGTGTGCGCGTGTGCGCGTTGTGAGTGTGTGCACCGATGCGCGTGTGTTTCCATGCCCTCTCTCCATGCCTCCAGGCCAATCCCAAGTTCCACAGCAGTGCCGGCAGGTTCACAGGTACACACCTCTCGTGGTACCCACTTCCCATGCGCCTCTCGTGCTACCCACTTCCCATGCGCCTCTCCTGTCACTTGGTGTTGTGTCAATTTGTGTCTTGGTCATGTCGTATCTCTGCCACGCCCCTGCATTCCTTTCTTGTTAGATGTGAGCTGTCCATCTAATCCGTCAACTCATGTGCTAATCATGTGTTTGCTGATTGTGTCCGTCCCGTGATGAACCCTTCACCATCGCTTACCCAATGCTCTTGCACATTGAATCTAGCCTGCCCGTCATACCTCCTGTTGTTCACTCCAAACATGCACAACGTCTCTCTATCTGTGCATGCAGCGGCGGTGGCCATTCTGGTGGCAGCAGGGTTCCGCAGGGTGAACGAGAAAAGGGATGCTGCAGGTGGGAGTGCATATGAGGAAGTGCTACTGCTGCGCCGGTTTGACCCTGTGCTCCTGTGGCTTGCAGCAGACGTGCTGGATGCTGCTTCTTGATGTTCTGCACCTGCTCATGATGCTCCATGCAGCAGCGACACATGCACATGGTGCATGCTGTACGGAGTAGTGTCATAATGTTTATAATATTCGTTGATGACGAAGCTTTGAGCAGCCGCAGATGCACAGACTGACGCACTCGCTTCATGCAAGGTGAAACATGTGACACTCTTTTCTGTGCTTAAATGAATGGTTTACGCAGACGGAAATACCGGTAGATACCCCGCAGCGTAGAGTTTGCTACACAGCAGCAGCTGAGGACATCCCATTCCGTTGATCCAAGAGACACGGAATCCAAACCCACATGCACCTAAGGAGTCTGTTACCGTAGTCAGATATGCCACTAAAACTGTGTCAAGTATCTAACTGATTTCTGATTTGAAGTCTCTCTAAACGGGGCAACCGGTTTCAAGTGATCAGCCTGACCAGAACCAGGTTGCAAGCTAACTACCCACTCACACCGCCTCTGCTGGCAGAGAAGCGCATGACACCACCTCTGCCTGCTGCTCCCTCCACCACCAGTGAAACCTAACACCAACAGCCACTCGTCACTTCCTCCTCCTACCATCTAGATTCTGGTTTTTGACCACATTCCTCGTATCTGCCGCCGTCCTGCCCCTTCAGCTGAGCTGCCGAACAAAGTTGAGCAGGGAGTCTGAGTCGCGCCTCTCGCCGCGCATCTTCACCACAAGCGCTGCCTGTTGCCCCTGGCGTGGGCGCACGGAGAGAATGGTGGGGAAGGACCCGGCGCCCAGGCGCTCCCGTGCAAACTGCCGCATGTCCCGATCGCCCTGCCACGGGGAAAAGGGGTCAGGGGGGAGGGAATGGGGAAAAAAGAAGGGAAGTGTGCAAAGGGGGAAAGAGGGGAAGGGAAAGAGGAAAGAGAGGGAGGAAGGGGGAGAAGTGGGTGTTGTTTGTAAGACAGGATAGGAGGGTAGTGGAAAGGAAAACAAAAAAAAAAACCCTCAAGTGTGGGTATGGGGAGTGTGGAAACGTGAAGTTCAAGACAGAAACGGGAAGAGCAGGTGCAGGAGTGAGAATATACCACATCCCATGTCATGTCACCCCTCCCACGCGCATCTTACACGCATCCCACGCGCATCTTACACGCATCCCACACGCATCCCACACGCATCCCACACGCATCCCACGCGCATCCCACACGCATCCCACGCGCATCCCACACGCATCCCACGCGCATCCCACACCACCATCCCCTCACCACTCCACCCACCCTGAACTTGGCGACTCGTGTGCGTGCACCCTCCTCCCCTCGCAGCACGCCCGCGGTGTGCAGGAGAGCGGGCTCGAGCGCCTGGCAGAAGGGGCACCAGGGCGCGTACACCACCACCAGCCACGACCACGCCGCTAGCTCCCCTGCCCGCCGCTGCTCCTCTGGGGTCGCTGCTGCTGCTGGCGACAGCTGGAGAGGGGAAAGCGGAGGGAAGGCGAGGTAGGAGTGGGAGTTGGAAAGAAGGGGGATGATGAGTGAGGTGTGTGGATGGGTTGAAAGGCAGACCAAGGCACATGCGGGGCATGCATGTGAGACGAAGACAGAAGCAGTGGGACGAGGAGAAAAAAGCAAGGTGAGGTGGACAGGCAGAGAAGGACAAGACGCCACACGCAGCAAGATAAGGAGAGGGAGAAAGCGAGAGACAGGATGGGAGGGAGGGGAGAGGGAGGGAGGAAGGAGGGAGGGAAGTGGGGGGGAAGGGAGGGAGGGAAGACTGGGGGAAGGGAGGGAGGGAGGGAGTGAGTGAGTGAGGGAGGGAGGGAGGGAGGGAGGGAGGGAGGGAGGGAGGAAGGGAGGAAGGAAGGGTGGCGGGGGGGAGGCAGGCAGGCAGGCGAGAAGAGAGCACGGACCAGCAGCTCAACATCCCTGGCACAGAGCTCCTCCACGCCCCCATCCACATAGATATCCTCCGCCTCCTCCTCTCTCCGCCTCTGCCGCTCCCGCTCCTCCTCCTCCCTTCTCGCCACCTCCGCGGCCGCCAGCTCCGCCTCAGCAGCCGCGCGCGTGCCCACGCCCGTGTGCCCGCGCGTCGCCAGCCCGCCCGGCCCCACCGCGGGCGCCAGCGCGAGCGCGGACAGCGCAGCAGCGGCGGACGCGCCCGTGGGAGCAGCAGCGCCCTTGGCGGCGGAGCCGGATGACGGCTGGTGCAACCCGCACTCCTTGCTCCCCGCCTCCTCCCACCACCAGCGCCCCTCGCGCTCGTGCTGGTGAGGCAGCACGGGGCGAGTGCAGGGCTCGCAGCCTATGGAGGTAAACCCCTGCGCGTGGAGTGGGTTCGTGGGGACTTCTAGAGCCTCCAGCATGTGCCAGACGTCTGAGCCGGAGACGAGGGCGAGTGGGTTGACTTTGACTAGGGTGCCCACTGCGCCGCCTGCGCCCTCGCTGCCCGGGTCGACCTGCACCAGTGGCACGTTAGCACGTGTCCCCACGGACTGGTCCCGCCTCTGCCCCGTAATCCACGCGCGCAGCGTGCGGAGCTTGCGCTGAGGGTTGAGAGCGGGCGGGGAGGGGCGGGGGGAAGGTTGTGTGGGGCCGGGGAGGAAGGGTGAAGAGGACGGGGTGGGGAAGGTGAGCGGAGGAGCAGATACATGCGACGATGGGGGCGGAGAAACGTGTATCAACACATGGAAGTAGATCAGAGCTGGGACACCACGAGAGGAAGCGAAGCGAGACAAAGGCATGGAGTCTAGCGACAGAAGTTGCTACTATAGCTTCATGCCGTTCTTTGCTGCACTGCTACTCATTATCATCAAAGCCAGAGACCGTTCAAGAGTGCGTGCAGCCATCAGAGTAACTATGACATGAGTAGGGCCGGCATGAGAGGCAGCGAGTGTGCCTCTTTCGGCCAAACGGGTGGCATCACGTGGCTGCATGCGACTCCTCCTTCCCGTGTCGCCGTCCCCTTTCTTTTTGTCATCTTGTCTTCTTTCATTCTTTTCCTGGGTGGAGGAGAGAGGGACTTTTCCTGATTTTCCCTCCACTTAAACATCCAGGTCTAACAAACTCTTTCTCCTCAGAAACCCCCTCCCCCAACCTCCCGGCCGCCCTCTCATCCCTCCTCTCTTCTCACCCCTCCCCACCTCCCCCTCTTTCCCCCAGTGGGCGCGCGCGCACCTTGAGCGGCTGCACTTTGCGCACGGAGCAGCACTCGAAGTGGCCGTCGGTGTAGAAGGAGAAGAGCCCCTTGGCGCCCACCAGCTGCTCCACCGCCGCCGCGTCCGGGAACAGCACCTCCATGCGCACCCCGTAGTGCTGCTCCACCTGTAGCAAGCAAGCAAGCACGCGCACACGCACGCGCGCACATCGCAGATTGCATTGCGAGGAAGGATCCAGAGTGAAAGAGAGAGTGAGTGAGAGTGTGTGTTTAAACAAGAGCTAAAGAAACATTGAACAACCGTAATAACAGCATTTTGTTAGGGGAAAGGTCATGAGAAAATGACGGAAAAAAAAACACACAAAAAAAAAAAACAAAAAACAAAAAACCGGGCGACATGAAGCGGAGAATGATACCTGGTGGAGGAAGCGGTAGGTCTCGGGGTTGAGGCGGCCCGTGTCGAGGCAGAAGACGCGGAAGGGACGGCCCGTGCTCGCCGCCAGCTCCACCAGCAGCACGTCCTCCGCGCCGCTGAACGCGATCGCCGCATCCACACCGTACAACTCCAATACCTGATCGGACGGTCGAGATCGGAGGGGGAAATGTGGTGCAGGGAGAAGGCCAGGTCCAGGTGAGCTTGGAGATACTGAGTAGAAAGAAGACGATGGGGTGATGGTGTCTGAGAGTGGAGAGAAACGCAGACAATGGGTTTGTCAAATGCACGCATCGCTACGCCGTTGCAGTGGTTACGGCGTGCTTACGCCGTTGTTACGTGCTTCTGTCAGAAGTCGTTGCTCGCGATACTGGGTCGTCCTTCAGCCAGCTCCATCGGCACAACGTTTCCTTGCGCGCATTGCTCTGTGCTGTCGGCGGCATTGGTTGCGACGATCGATACCGCTGGCGAAAGGCGACATTGCTGGCGACGGGCGACATCGTGGGCGACGGGCGACATTGCGGGCGACGGGCGACACTCACCCGGTCCATGATAGCGAGTGGCGACATGCCCTCCAGCTCCTCGCTCAGCATCGCCACCTCCTCGTTCGCCCGCAGAATCGCCTGCGCCACCTCCGCCTCGTCCTTCGTCGTCGCCGTCGTCGCAGTTGCCGCCGCCGCGGACGCGCCCACGGATCGCGCACCGTCGCCTGCGGCAGCCAGAACAACGCAAGGCCGCGACTTTCTCACACCCATTTGGGCGGCAACGGCGGCGCCGTCAGGGTTTGAGGGTTTTGATGACCCGACGAACGAGGATCGGAGGGCGGAGAGAAGGCTCTGCTGCGGTGCTGCGGGAGCACCGGCGATCGCGGAAACCAGCCTGGCGCTGACGACATTAGCGACAGGCGTTGCCAGCGACGACGACGGCAGAGCCATGTCGGCCGAGTTTACGCGCAAGTAGATGGTTCAAAACAAGCTTGGCCTCCTAGTGGGCGATCAGCTCGGAAGGAACGTTGTCGGGCTTGCGGAGAGAGAAGGTGTGTGAGACGATGACCTTTATGGTGATCAGCACGGTGACGAGGGGGGAATGGAGTTGAGAATGGGTGGAGTGGTGGCTTTTATAGCTCCTAGTGTGGTGTGGAGTGGAGTGGAGTGGATCGGCTCGGGCTCCGGCGGGCTCGGTTCATCCAACAGTTGGCGGGAATGTACAGTACACCGTGGCGGCAACTCCCCCAAACGGCGTCTATTGTGCACGCTCCGCCAATCAGCGAGACGAAATGCAGCAGCAGATGTGCTTGAAAATACTAGTGCGTCAGAGGACGAACCGTTACAAGCACAACGGCGTAGCTACATGGGAATGTATTACCAGCCGTATAATAGTGTTTGATTATTTATTGCGTCGCTGGTACCACACAAGACTGAGCTCAGGTGAACATGGATTGTCAGTGAAGTACTGCGAGCAGCAACACAAGACATTGATGACTGATTTTTGGGTTGCGTAGCAACCTTATACATTTGGTTTCACTTTTAGGGGAACTGACCGTGAACAGTGATTTTTCCCTGCCCGTGTGGGAAAAAATACTGTTCAACTTTTTAGTTGCCCCAAAAATGTGAAACCAAATGTAGCCAATAATTCCATAGTCGTCGATAAGTACGGAGAATGGAACAATTGGTTGGACACAAACATGTACATTGAGAAAGCTTGCTTTCTTATTCTTATCAATTGGCATCGTTCTCATTACAAATGGCTTATTACAACATTTGCATCAACGTTGAACACAAGCTGGTGCAATCGAATAACACTAGCTAAGATGTACCCTATCCAAGTGGCATTAGCAAGGCGGTTTACTCTGGGGTGGGTGGTGGGAGTGTTGAGTGAGCCGTTTGAAAATCGAGAAACGTGGGTGGAGGGAAATGAACTCCAACCCACGGTTTTTGTAGTTGGAGAAGGGCGTTTAGCGCGCTTCGACGATGCCAATTGTGCAGTACAAGCAGCTTCGCTTTCACAATACACAATTTTAAAAAACACAATGTGTGTTTAAAAATTATAATAATAACAGACCCAAACGACAGCACACGAACTTGTACAAAAACGAGAAACACCAGTTGTGAGTGCTTCGAAGCTAATGCTAGAATGCATCGTTAATGCAACTGCGATTGATCTGGTATGGAAGAGGCAACCAAAGCTGCCCCACCAACGATCACAACCGCAATTGTATACACGAGGCACTTAGCACTCACCCCGAAACAGAGCCACACAACTACATAGCCTACATGTGCGCACACAAATACGCAGATAGAAAATGACGCAGAAACATACAGCTAATACTAAGCATGCAAGCATAGCCAATGAAGTTCACCAATTAATAAACCATCGCTACCTTGCCCCCCATTCCCCTCCCTCCCCCCCTCCCTGATCTCCCTTAACCCTCCCTACACCCCTCCGTCCCTCCTTCCCTCATCTCCCTCCCACTCCCTCCCTCATCTCCCTTCTCAGCTCACGCGCCCTGCACAAAGCGAAAACAAAGAAGTTCACACACACACGGCCTGTACACAGCAAAAAACAGAGAAGCAAACACACACACGGCCTGCACACAGAAAAAACAGAGAAGCAAACACACACACGGCCTGCACACAGCAAAAACAGAGAAGCAAACACACACACGGCCTGCACACAGCAAAAACAGAGAAGCAAACACACACACTGCCTGCACACAGCAAAAACAGAGAAGCAAACACACACACGGCCTGCACGCAGCAAAACAGAGAAGCAAACACACACACTGCCTGCACACAGCAAAAACAGAGAAGCAAACACACACGGCCTGCACACAGCAAAACAGAGAAGCAAACACACACACGGCCTGCACACAGCAAAACAGAGAAGCAAACACACACACGGCCCGCACACAGCAAAAACAGAGAAGCAAACACCTTAGAAGCCGACACACTAAACACTAGTGCAGAAAGCGACACTCGTTTGCATAAGTAGTCCCAGCTGCCCAAGCACCAGCAGAATAGATGCTAGTGCATGTGCCCCAGCGTGTTCATAAAGCTCTCTCGTGCGTTCTCTCACGCACTCTCTCACGCACTCTCACGCACTCTCTCACGCGCTCTCACACTCTCTCACGCGCTCTCTCACCTGCTCTTTCAGGGCTCTCTTACGTGCTCTCACACGCTCTCACGCGCTCCCTCACGCGTTCTCTCACACTTTCTCTCACGCGCTCTCTCACGTGCTCTCTCACGCCCTCTCTCACGTGCGCTCTCACGGACGCGTTCACGCGTCTCTCACGCGCTCTCTCGCGCGCTCTCTTTACGCTCTCTCACGCGCTCCCTCGCGCACTCTCACGCGCTCTCTCATGTGCTCTCTCACGCATTCTCTAACGCGCTCTCTCACGCGTTCTCTCACGCGCTCACTCACGCGCTCTCTCACGCGCTCTCTCACGCACGCTTTCACGCGTCTCTCACGCACTCTCTCATGCGCTCTCTCACGCGCTCTATCACACGCACTCTCACGCACTCTGTCACGCGTTCTCTCACGCGCTCTCTCACGCGCCCTCTCATGCTCTTTCTCATGCTCTCTCTCACGCGCTCCCTCACGCGCTCTCTCACGCGAACTCTCATGCGCTCTCACGCACTCTCTCACGCTCTCTCTCACGCACTCTCTCACGCACTCTCACGCGCTCTCTCACGCCCTCTCTCACGCCCTCTCTCACGTGCGCTCTCGCGCGCGTTTTTACGAGCTCTCTCACGCGCTCTCTCACGCGTCTCTCACGCGCTCTCTCACGCACTCTCCCACGCGCTCTCCCACGCGCTCTCTCACGCGCTCCCTCACGCGCGCTCTCACGCGCTCTCTCACGCGCTCCCTCACGTGCTCTCTCACGCGCTCTCTCACGCGCACTCTCATGCACTCTCTCACGCGTCTCACTCGCTCTCTCACGCGCTCTCTCTCACGCGCTCTCTCTCACGCGCTCTCTCTCATGCGCTCTCTCACGCGCTCTCCCACGCGCTCTCCCACGTGCTCCCTCACGTGCTCTCTCTCGCGCACTCACTCAAGCGCACTCTCACTTGCACTCTCACGTGCACTCTCACGTTCACTCTCACTCGCACTCTCACGCGCACTCTCATCCGCACTCTCACGCGCTCTCTCACGCGCACTCTCACGAGCTCTCTTACGCGCACGCGCACTCTCACGCGCACGCGCTCTCTCACGCGCACGCGCTCTCTCACGCGCACGCGCTCCCTTGCGCGCATGAGCTCTCTCACGCGCTCTATCACGCGCACTCTCAGGAGCACTCTCACTCGCACGCGCTCTCTCGTGCGCTCTCTCGTGCGCTCTCTCGTGCGCTCTCTCGTGCGCTCTCTCACGCGCACTCTCACGCGCGCTTTCCTGCGTGTTGGCTCCCGTGTACATGCTCTCCCTCGCGCTCCGTCTCTCCCATTCTTCAAATGAAAGTGCAATGCGAGAGGAGACCAATCTACACAGAAACTTTACGAGGAGAGCAAAGAAAACAAAAAAGTAGGGAGGGAGGGGGGGAGGAGAATTCAGTGGGGGAAGGGAGGATGAAAAGACCGGGAACGCACCTGATAACAACGGTGCCTCAGAAAACAACCCGCGCTGGCGCACCAACCCGCGCTCGCGCACCAACCTGCACTCGCACACCAAGTCTCGCTTGCGCTCGTGCACCTGTCGCCGGAGGCGACGGCGGGGAGGGAAGGAGAGGCGATGACGAGGAGGTTTGAGAGGCGACGGCGGGGAGGAGGGAGAGGCGACGGCGGGGAGGAGGGATACGCGACGGCGGGGAGGAGGGATACGCGACGGCGGGGAGGAGGGAGAGGCGACGGCGGGGAGGAGGGAGAGGCGACGGAGGGGAGGAGGGAGAGGCGACGGCGAGGAGGAGGGAGAGGCGACGGCGGGTAGGAAGGAGAGGCGACGGCGGGTAGGAAGGAGAGGCGACGGCGGGTGGGAGGCGACGGCGGGTGGAAGGGAGAGAGGACGGCGCGGTGGGAAAGAAAGGATGGCGGGGTGGAGGTAGAGGCTATGACTAGGTGGGTGGTTGGGAGAAGCAACAGGTGGGTGGATTTGTCACGTGAAAACACACGCACAATCACGTGACACTGAGTGGGCTGAAAACAACTCACTATGAACCACACAAAATAGTGCAATGTTACAATACAAAGTAAAGAGAACATCATTGTTCACTATATAAAACAAAAAACGATCAATGTGTCTAGATATTAACGTATTAGAAACATCAATTGTTAAGAATCATAAACATCCAAGTTGAAAAATATAGATTTAACTATAAAAAAACGCTTGCAATATTCCTTGAACAGTAGGCCTAAATTTGACGCTTTTAAAAAACTGCAAAAAAAAATTGTCAACTAAAAGAACGTAACATCTACGCAACCCTTCCGACGTTAACATCAAGTCTTGTTTTCTAGAATCTCAAGGTAGACAGAAAACAGAATGAAAGCAAGCACCTCTAGTTGGGTATTTCTTTCCATCCCCAGTCACTCATTTTCCCGGTACCGTCATCGCCCGGATATAAGACATATATGTCTTATCTCGTACACTGGCAAAAATGCTTGAGTTATCTTGTAAACGGGATGGTTTAGGGTGTCTTATAAGTCTTATAAATGGAAAAAAAATTGAAGTTGACTGTAACACTTGCAAAGTGTGTAGAAACCACCCAAAGACCAATTTCATTTAAACAGGCCGACCTCGGTGGTGATGCATGCAGCGCCCACACTTTCCACGTGAGGGAGCTGCCACCGCTGGCAACATTCATCTGTGCTGGCAGCATCTAATGATGTTGCCAGCGTCGTTTTGCTGCCAGGAGCGCATGGATACTTCCAGAACGCTGCTGGCAGCACGTTGGTAGCGTGAGGGCTGTCCTCTACGAGGAGATGCCTCGTAGAGGAGCGACTCGGCACCTGTGGATGGGGCACTTTGGGTGGGGGGGGTAGTCGGGCTCTCACTTCATTTCGTGCTCAAGGAGGTTGAATACTCGTCTCAACCTTGCTCTCGGCAGGCTCTCTAACCATGCGCAGCAAAGTACCAGTAGGCAAGTCCTCACCTCGTCCTCACGTGCAGGTTAATAACTACGGGCGAATTAACTTGCCTGGCTATGACATCCGAGTAGCCATGGCGAAGAACGCGAGCAAGGCGGCAAGTCCTACCGCCGCCTCCGGTGCGAGCTGTGACGGGGACGACGGAGACGAAGCGAACGGCGACGACGCCTAGGAGGATTGGCCGGAGAACGGCCACGACGACAGCGCTTCAGGCGACGATGTAGGTCCTGCTGACATCGAGGAGGACGACTGGTGGAGTCGGCCGGTCGGGAGCGACGACGAGGTGGAAGAGTGGCATGCTGGTGATTCCGACAACGACGGAGGTAAAGATGCGCATGGTAACAACGCGGAGGCAGCGGCGGATGCACAGGAAGCGGCGATGGATGCGAATGAGGAGGCTGACGACGAGGCGGGGGCGGAACTTGAGACATTTGCGCCTGCGGATGCGGCCGCAGTTGCGGATGCGGAAGGCGAGGAAGGCGGGGACGACGACCCATGGAGCTTTGGGACCGACGACGACGTCCCGCTACTGAAGCGGAGGCTGCGCCATCGCCTACAGCCCAAGTCAAAGCGGGCCCGGGTGGTGCTCTCTGACGACGACGGTCCGGGGGAGGAGCGTCGCCCGATACTCACCGCTGCGGAGAAGGGGAAAGCCAAGGTCGCGGAAGCCCCTGCTAAGGCCCCTGCTAAAGCCCCTGCTCGTCGCCGCACAAGCAACAAGAAGCTGACATCCGACGGAGACCCGGGATCCAGCAAGGGTGCGGCTAAGAAGAAGGCGAAGAAGGCGCCGAATCCTGACGACATCGTCGTGTACGAGCCGCTGGGCAGCGACGATGAGTACGCGGCGGCGGCGGGCCCGATTCCCACGTTCCCTGAGAAGGTAACGCCGAGGGACCCCACCCTCCGTAATCCCAACACCCGCCCACCTTCCCCTCGCAACAAAGACACTACGAAGAAGCCCCGCAATTGGACCGTGCGTGAGAAGCTTAAGTGGGCGCGCCGCTATCAGGAGCTCGGCTCCTTGAAGACGACGGTCCGGGGGAGGGCGGGCGATGCTGGTGTTGGACTCCTACCGCGGTCACATCACCCAGACCATGCTTCAGTCGTACCGCACGCACAGCATCACCCTTGCAGTCATCCCAGCGGGTTGTACGAGCCGGATTCAACCCCTGGACGTCTCCATCAACCGGTGCTTCCAGGCTGCTGTGCGAGCGCGCTACGCCAGGTGGTTCATGCGTGAAGGGATTCACCTGAAGACGAAGAAGGGTGAGTTGGTCCTTCATTTACGGTTTTATTCATGTTCTGTTTCGTGTCCTTGTCTTAAACATGCTCCTTCATATCCGTGTCTCTTACATCTCGCTGCCCCGTCCTCTGTCCCACCCGCAGGGAACCTGCGGAGGCCTCCGCACCCCGTGGTGCTGCAGTGGATCGCGGAGGCTTGGGATCAAGTCCCCAAGCAGATCATCATCGACGCGTTCCGCCACTGTGGGATCTCGAGCAAGCTGGACGGAACAGAGAACCACCTGGTGATGTCTCACCTGCGCGCCAGGAGCACCACCGATGTCTCCGCGGACATGTCTCTCGGGGGGACCACAGGCGACAACACGTGCCTGCTCGGTCGGGCTCCAGAGGAGGAGGAGGAGGAGGCGATGCAGGCGGAGGGCGTGCGGGAGGTGGCCGTGGCAACCGGCCTGGAGGTGCTGTACCAGGAGACCCCCAACTACCGCGGAGCGGCGGCTGAGGCTGACCGCATGATCGAGCCTAGAGAGACGGCTAGGCATGCTTGGCGAGTGCCAGACCTGGGTGTAGAGCCTGATGTTAGTGCAGGTGAGGAGGCGGTGACTAAGGGGGGTTAGGTAGAAGTAGAGATTCATGACTGTATGCATGTACCCCCCTAAAGTAGGAAAGCTAGCTAAGAAGACACCCCCTGTTTATAAGAAAACCCCTAAACCCTGGTTATGATTATAAGACATATATGTCTTAACTCGTACACACAAATAGGTGTCGTATAAAAAGGCTAGCTTGTTTATAAGAGACACCCGTATAGTAGACAACCCCTGTCTACTATTCAACACTGTCTTATATCCGGGCGATGACGGTATATGAAGCTTATTTACCATTGTCCCATTTACGAAAAACCTGAATGCATCACAATCCACCTAGCATATAATTTCATGCTGCAAGAGCATAACGCAAGGCGCCTCAACTGGCCTGCAAGCCACACAACACCCTCAACAACACACACATGGGCACAATATGGCCAGCGCCAGCCCCGCCACTGCCTACCATCACTGGCCGCCTACACTCGGCCACCTCGTGCAATCACGGCAGCTGCCACAGCAACAGTGGCCACAGCAACCACCGTGGCAGCACCCCCCGCGTATGCCCATGCTGTGCCTGAATTCCAATGAGCGGACGAGAAAGAAGGCCGAGACACACTTGGCGCAGATGGGGAAGATGTAGCAGCAGCACCGGCACCACCAGCACCAGTCGAAGCAGTCGAAACGGTGGAAGGAGGAGAGTCGGCATTGGCCTTCTTGGATTGCCATGTTTTAACAGGAGAGTCTGTTGAAGCAGTGGCAGGGAAGTCGCCTCTCACAGGCAAGCCGTGGCGTTTGTATGCCACAGCTGACCCTGCAGCAGCCCGAATGGAAGCGGCCGCTGCTGCTGCTCCTGCCGCTGCAGCAGACGCAGCAGCACTTGCAGGGGGGGGCCTAGTGGCGGCGGCAGGAGAGGTATTGACCAACACACGTGACGACGGAGAACCATCAGCATCTGATACTGGTGCTGCTGGTGCCTCTGCTGCTGCTCGTGCCGCTGCGGCTGGTGGTGCTGCAGCAGTAGGGTGAGCTGGTGTGGATGCTGCAACTCTGACGGGGCTGGGGTGAGAAGTGGCAGCAGGTGCAGCCAAGGCTGCCTGGATCGCAGCATAGGGCACACGGATTGGTACAGTCGTAACAGGAGAGACAGGAAACTCTTCAGATGCTCCTCCTGCTGCTGCTGCAGCTGCTGCTATGGCCGCTGCTGTTGTTGGTATTGGGAGTGGGGGCCGGGTGGGGATGAGAGTGGGGCGGAGAAAGGTGGGAGAGTGGGGATGGGGAGGGAGACCGCTTCCAGCTGCTGTTGCAGGAGAGCCGTGAGATAATGAGAGAGACCCTGCGTACTGCTGCAGTGATTGCTGCTGCTGCTGCTGCTGCTGCTGCTGTTGGCTGTGCATGAGTTGAGGCATGTACTGTTGGAGATAAAGAGAACTCTGCACTTGTGACTGCTGCTGCTGTTGCTGCTGTGGTGACGGGGGTTGCTGATGATAATGGAAGAGGTGGGGCGGTAGGGTGCTGTGAACATCCATGGTAGCATGCCCGCCATTCGCAGGATAGGCATACGTTGCGTATGGCTGCTGGGGCATTGAGGCTGGAGGCCCGTTTGAATACGAGTATGGATTGTACTGCTGCTGCTGTTGATGCTGTTGATGCTGCTGTTGATGCTGCTGCGGATGCTGTGGGTGCAGCTGGGGTGGTGGTTGTGGATCCGAGAAGTCCAGATGCAGCTTGATGCCCTGAGATTGCATGGGGGGGCACAGGACGACACACGTACACATGGCATGACACATGAACACTGCACTGCATATGACGACGGCGGATGACAGGATACGAGGGTGATCTTCGAAGGACGCCGAGCAGATAGCTTTTTGAATGCTTGAACGAAGAGTGGGGTGAGGCACACTGAACTGTGCGATGGGGAGCAGTGGATACGAGCAGGTTGGGTCGTCTAAACGATATCCAACTGCTGAGTAGCACACATACTAATCATCCCACTACCAGTCGGCTCTATTCAATGTGGTGTTATATGACCCTCCATCCATCTCCCTCCCCGCCGCAATAAGCCCAGAGAGCCGAGCAGCAGTGCAGGGAGCCCAAGAGTGGTCCACAAGAATTGGTTGGTTGGTTAGTTGGTTGGTTGGTTGGTTGGTTGGTTGGTTAGTTGGTTGGTTGGTTGGTTGGTTGGTTGGTTGGTTGGTTAGTTGGTTGGTTGGTTGGTTGGTTGGTTGGTTGGCATGGCATGGCACCTTGCAGTTGGAGGCGAGGGCGAAGGTGACGGCAGCTTGCAGGTCCTCGTCTGTGGATAGCACCACCTTGTCCCCCTCCTCGTCCTCGTACTGCCATGCACATGCAGGCATGCACGCACGCACTCACACACGCACACATGCATGCACACACATGCACACACGAACACGAACACACACACAAACACGCACACACATGCACACACACACATGCGCGCGCGCGCACACACACGCACACACGCACAAGCACACGCACACGCACACACGCAAATGCACGCGCACACGCACACAAGCTCATGCGGTCACCGGCACACCGCGCACGCATGCAAGCACGCACACACTCACACACACACTCACACACACACTCACACACACACTCACACACACTCACACACATAGACCAGATCAGCGGTGGTGCAGAAGAGGGATGGGGGGTGGGGTGGAGAGAGTGGTGTGTGTGATGGGATGGAGTGAATGAGAAGGGGGTGGCGGACAGCAGAACAGGTACCGTGAAGAATGGAGAGGACGGGACGGCGGGGTGGAGGGACGGAGAAATTGGAGTGAGAGGGAGGAGGACGGGTCTGAGAGAAACGTGTCTGGTACAGCATGTTGCACAAGCGTGTATGGTACGTGTTATGAGGTATGCAGGAAGGCATGGTGGGAGGGAGTGCAGGTGCACACCATGACAGCAGGCGGGTTGTTGGGGTCATAGTCAGGTCCCAGGCGGGACGCCACTGCACAGATGAGCTCCGTCACACTCTCCCGCCCTGCTCCCCCCCACCCCACACGCAGTGCCATGTGGTGCAGAGACGTGGGCAAGGGAGAGGAGGTCGTGGGAAGGGCGGGGGGTGTCGGGGAGGGATGTAGATAAGAGGGGAGAAAGGTTAATAGAAGAGGTGACAGAAAGATGGGTTCTGCGTCGCTCTCTTGGCAGCACAGCCGTGTCAGCATGCAGTGCAGTGCAATGCAGCGCCGAGCATAACAACAGGGGCAAGTGCATTGGAGTGAAGTACTCGCGAGGAGGAAGAGCAAAGCCAGCCAGAGAGAAGGTGGTGACAAGGAATCAGAGGCGTGAGCTGAGAAATGGAAATGGAAAGCCTATGAGCTGAGAGAAAGCAGCGACATCTGAAACGGAGCGCTCAAATCCAACACCGCCACATTCCCTTTTGAGTATTCTCAAAGGTGACTACTGAGTTGTGTGAAGAGACTGTGAAGAGACTGTGAAGAGACAACAAAGCCAGTAGACAAAACAGCGACACCACTTTTGAAACCTCCGGAATATCAAGAACAAAGCCGGTCCATAAACCAGAAACACAACCAATCCATTGACCAGAAACACAACCAATCCATTGACCAGAAACACAACCAATCCATTGACCAGAAACACAACCAATCCATTGACCAGAAACCCCCAGAGCCCCTCGACTGACCAGCAGTGAATCGGTGCACGCGCCCCCGCCTGTCCTCCATCTTGAACGCAAACCGCATGTCACCCAGCCCTCCCGCCACCAACCCCCCTCCACCGTACCCCACCCCTCCCTCCCCGCCTGCACCACCCCCCACACCCGTGACGCCACCTGTCCCGGATACCACCTTCCCCTCGGTAATATCAGAGAGGGGCCGTGAGGGGATGGAGGGGGGATGGGGAGGGGGGAGGGAGGGGAGGGGAGAGGCAAGGGCGGTGCGTGGTGGTGTGACAACTGCTGCAGAGGAAGCAGAATGAGTAGAGTGAACAGAGTGAGCAGAGGGAGCAGAGGGAGCAGAGGGAGTGGATGCAGCAGTGGGGATGGTGCTACTGGTTGGGGCTGTGGGGTCCGCATGAGAGGCTGCTGTTGCTCCTGGTGGTGTGCACTTGCCCAGCCCTGCATCTATCTTTCTTCCTCCAGCCCCTGCTGCTGCTGCTGCCCCTGCTGCTGCTGCTGCCCCTGCTGCTGCTGCCCCTGCTGCTGCGGCTGCTGCAGGTGCAGGAGGTGTGGTGGCAAGGAGGGAAGGAGGGCGAGCGGGGCGGGAGGTGGGCATGGAGGAGACGGAGGCAGCGCGAGATGCATCCCAGAAGTCTATGCTGCGCACACTGCTGGGGGGCAATGGGGGTGAATCATGGGGTGGGGGCGATGGTGTTTTGAATGGGCGAAGACAAGAGCGAAGAAGACGGGTTTAGTGATGGATGATGATGACGACGACGACGACGACGACGACGACGACGATAATGATGATAATGATGATGATGCGTCCTTTCACTGACAAGGACGAGAATGAAACGAGGCCGGTGCGGGGAGAGCAGAGCAGCCATGCGGCTCTTTGGATGAACTTCTCTTTTCATGTTGAGCGGCGTAAACCATATCAGCGCACCAAAAGATTTCTGAGTCGAATAAAAAACAACGGCCCCCCTATCCCTTCTCCCACCATCCCCCCCACCATACACACCTGGAGGCATCATCGCCAGTGGAAGGGTCTAGGCGCAGGGCGGAGTCCCAGAATCGCTGCATGAGCGCTCCAAACGCCTCGTTGCTCCCACCGCCGCCGCCGCCGCCAGCACCGGCACCGCCACCGCTGCTGCTGTTGTTGCCCTCCCCTGATGCCGCACACTGCTGCTGATGGCGATGGAGATGGGAGCGCGGATGGAATGGGAATTCGGATAGAATGGGACTTCGGACAGAATGTGGCAGTGTAGGGTAGGGGAGAGCAGGGGGGAGGGAATGGGAGTGGGATCGAGGCGAAACGGGGTTCATAGGGGTGGGTTGGGCTGATCAGCCCACTGCTTGGAGGGCGGAAGGACACTGCATCGTATCTTACGGCCGTGGTTATATGCAGCAGGGCAGGATGAGATGAGAGATTACAGATGCGTGCCATGAGGCCGGAAGACACTGCTTGGCGTTGTACGATGCGAAGACAGCATACACTGGGCATGGCATCGCATGGCGTAGGTAGCAGGGCATGGGATGGCATGGTATGGGATGGAATGGGATGGCATGGTATGGGATGGAATGGGATGGCACGGCAACTATGCATAGCGAAGCAAGGCATGGCAACTATGCATAGCGAAGCAAGGCATGGCAACTATGCATAGCGAAGCAGAGAGGCATACCGCTGGCATGGAGAGTGCCTCATGGATGAGATGGATGACGTCCACACATGCCACACAGTTGCCGTCTGATCATGATGCTCCAGTGCCACGCACGCACCCTCACGAGAGACAGCGCCAGTGCTCGCACACACCAGAAACACATGTGCCCGCACACACACATGTCCACGTACGGAAGATGCGGGCCGGGAGTGCAAAGCAAGGAGGGAAGGTGGGGGCAGGGGAGTGGGAAGGGAGGAATCTGATCATTGCACACACAAAATGTGTAGAGAGGGTGTTTTCGAGACGTTGAAAAAAAACACCCTCTCTACACAAGGGTAGAAGTTGATCATTGCACGAAACGCTGAACCATAAACCGATGACGATAAAGAAGGGGAGATGAAGAGTGGGAGGAGATTGAGAGAAGCTGAACCATAAAACCACAGCATTGGGCGAATGGAAGGGCACAGTGGGACGGACACGAAGGGAACGAGACATGGTACTTGTGAAAGAAGAGGATGGAAAGAAGCAAACGAGAAAGAAAGGGGTTGATGAGTCGAGAATGGGTGTCATGGTGAGTGTGAGTGTAGGTGTTAGTGTGTGTGAGAATGGGTGTGATGGTGAGTGTAAGTGGGTGTTCGTGTGGGTGCGAATGGGTGCGAGTGTGCGGGTGTGACAGCAGTGAGTCACCTTTGTCAACGACAGGGAGGTGCAGGAAGCAGCCAACGTGCATGAGACGAAGCTTCGAGACGTCTCAAAACTTGACTGTGGGTGCGACCGTGTGGGTGTGCTGGTGTGCAGGTGTGGGAGAGGGCACCTTTATCAACGACAGGGAGGTGCAGGAAGCGGCCAACGTGCATGAGACGAAGCTTCGGGACGTCTCAGACCGTGGTTGTGGGTGCGACCGTGAGGGCGTGGAGGTGCAGGGGGGTGTTGCATAGGCCACCTCACCTTTATCAACGACAGGGAGGTGCAGGAAGCGGCCATCATGCATGAGATGAAGCGCCTCCACCACTGGCATGTTCAGACTCGCACACTCGGGACTCGCTGTCATGGCCTGTTGTGTGCCCATGCACCCATGCACCCATGCACCCAGGCACCCGTGCACCCATGCACCCATGCACCCATGCACCCATGCACCCATGCACCCATGCACCCATGCACCCATGCACCCATGCACCCATGCACCCATGCACCCATGCACCCATGCACCCATGCACCCATGCACCCATGCCCCACACACACACCCATGCACCCACACACCCAAGCACCCATGCACCCACACACCCATGCCCCACACACACACCCATGCACCCATGCACCCACACACCCATGCACCCATGCACCCATGCACCCATGCACCCATGTACCCGTGCATCCATGCATCGAAGCACACAAGCATCCATGCATCCATGCATCCACACACCCATGCATCCATCCATTCGAACATTTGTTTAAAAGAGGCAATCAACAAGCCTGACAGGAGAGGCACCACACGAAACTGCAATGAGTGGCACATGCTGTATCCCCCTCCACATGCAACCTCTGCGTGTATGTTCCTGTGTGAGTGCGTCTGCCCGTGCCTCTCTGCTCTGCCTGTGTGAGTGTGTGTGCGTGGGAGGAACACCTATGCAGCTAACCGCATCCTCCACTCCACATCCGCATTCACTTTTGGCCGAGTATTGAGGTGCCTCAAAACTCGTCTCATTCTGAGGCGTCTCAAAGCTAGCTGCACCCTCTACATTTACAAATGCACTGGGCAGGCAGGACCATGCCTGCTTGTAAGCCTGTGTGCGTGTCTGTGCACAACACCAACTCACTTTGTTCACTTGCACAATGTGCAACATTCTGGGTCCAGTCCAGCACCCATGCACGCGTTCTGCCTCATCTCACGCGCCTCAAGACAGACAGTTGCCTCTTGCCATACCTGCGTGCCTCGTGCATGCGTGCGTGCGTGTGTTGGGGTGTGTGGTGGTCCCTGCTCACCTTCTTGACCGGCACGATGTTTGGGTTGGGTCCAGCCCTGTCACGAGTTTTGAGGTGGCTCAGTAGTCAACTCTTGCCATGCCGCAGCCCAGCCCAGCCTGCATGCGTGCGTGCGTGCGTGTGTGTGGGTGAGTGGGCAATAGCTCACCTTCTTGACCTGCACGATGTTTGGGTCCAGCCCTGTCACGAGCACTCGCAGCAGAATGTCCTTTGACCTGTGGACGAAGGAGAGAGAGGGGGAGGAGGAAGGAGGGAGGGAGGGAGGGAGGGAGGGAGGGAGGGAGGGAGGGAGGGAGGGAGGGAGGGAGGGAGGGAGGGAGGGAGGGAGGGAGGGAGGGAGGGAGGGAGGGAGGGAGGGAGGGAGGGAGGGAGGGAGGGAAGGAAGGAAGGAAGGAAGGAAGGAAGGAAGGGAGGGAGGGAGGGAGGGAGGAAGGATGGCGACATGGTGAGAGGTGGCAACGGAAAGGAAGCGTGAAGGCGCATTATGAAGCAGAGCAATGGCAGGCAGTAAGTAAGGAAGGACAATGATGTCGAGGAACCACAGGGAATGTGCAAGGGATGAGGGGAGGGGAGGGCGAAAAGCAACAGGGAAACGGTATGACAGGGGGTTATGGTTGGGTGAGTGGGCAGGTGGTGGGTGGGTGATTGGGTGAGTGGACTCACGTGAGGATACCCATGGGCCTGCTGGTGCGGCTGTGACCCCCGCCTCCTCGACCCGCCGCCGCTGCTGCTGCTGCGTTGCCTGACGCAACATTGGCAGCAACGGTGGTGGAGGCGGTATTGGTGGTACTGGCGGCGGCGGCGTGATGGGCGTGAGCGTGTGTGTGGGACGAGGGCACGACAATGACAGCGGTGACGCCTCGGCTCTGCATGGTGGCGGCTGCTGCAGCCACTGTGGCGTTGGGGTCCACTGTTACAGGACTGGCATGGTGGGGCGCATGAAGGGGCAGGGGCGCACAGGGTGGGGCGCGCAGGGTGGAGAAAGGGAGGGAGGGAGAGAGGGTGTGAGGGAGAAGGGAGGCAGAGAGGCGGAGAGGGAAAGGAGTAGGATAACAAGTCCGTCAGGTGGAATGGGCTAAGGACGGTGGAGTGGACGAAGGAAGGACGGAGAACAGAAGCATGGGGTAGGCGTGGAGGCGAGGTGGGAGTGAGAGTTAGCAAGAAGCAGGCAGGGACGACGTTCAAGCATGGAGTTGTGGGACACAGAGTGTGGTGATGTGGAGAGAAAGATGACAGGCAGCATGGTGAGCGGCAGCATGGTGAGCGGCAGCACGGTGAGCGGCAGCACGGTGAGCAGCAGCACGGTGAGCAGCAGCACGGTGAGCAGCAGCACGGTGAGCAGCAGCACGGTGAGCAGCAGCATGGTGAGCAGCAGCATGGTGAGCAGCAGCATCCCACCTGGTTTCATCTCCAATGAGATTAGCAAGGGTGGGTCGAGCAATCTTATCTCGCAGCGACCCCAGGAACCCTGGAACAGGGAGGTGGGGGAGGGGGGTGGAGGAACAGGAGCTCACGGGATAGGCATGGCTGGATTGCATGCAGGGAGCAGAGCAGGTGTGGGAAGGAAAGGTGGGTGGGAGCACAGGGGGGAGCACGGGGCATGCAAGGAAACGTGGGTGGGAGAGCGGGGAAGAGGAGAGTGGAGGAGAGTGGAGGAGAGTGTAGTAGACAGCTGAGGGAGCAACGAATGCATGTAGAACACGGAGGCAGTGGCTCATGCTGCTGACTCTGGTTGCTTGCCCCAACCACCTTATTGCCAAGAAAACCTGTCCTACTCCCTCAACCAACCACCCAGCGACTTCTCTTGAGGCGCCTCAAAAGTACGTCCTGCTCACTCCCTCAACCAACCACCCAGCGACTTCTCTTGAGGCGCCTCAAAAGTATGTCCTGCTCGCTCCCTCAACCAACCACCCAGCGACTTCTCTTGAGGCGCCTCAAAAGTATGTCCTGCTTGCTCCCTCAACCAACCACCCAGCGACTTCTCTTGAGGCGCCTCAAAAGTATGTCCTGCTCGCTCCCTCAACCAACCACCCAGCGACTTCTCTTGAGGCGCCTCAAAATTATGTCCTGCTCGCTCCCTCAACCAACCACCCAACGACTTCTCTTGAGGCGCCTCAAAAGTATGTCCTGCTTGCTCCCTCAACCAACCACCCAGCGACTTCTCTTGAGGCGCCTCAAAAGTATGTCCTGCTCGCTCCCTCAACCAACCACCCAGCGACTTCTCTTGAGGCGCCTCAAAAGTATGTCCTGCTCGCTCCCTCAACCAACCTCCCAGCGACTTCTCTTGAGGCGCCTCAAAATTATGTCCTGCTCGCTCCCTCAACCAACCACCCAGCGACTTCTCTTGAGGCGCCTCAAAAGTATGTCCTGCTTGCTCCCTCAACCAACCACCCAGCGACTTCTCTTGAGGCGCCTCAAAAGTATGTCCTGCTCGCTCCCTCAACCAACCACCCAGCGACTTCTCTTGAGGCGCCTCAAAAGTATGTCCTGCTCGCTCCCTCAACCAACCACCCAGCGACCTCTCTTGAGGCGCCTCAAAAGTATGTCCTGCTCGCTCCCTCAACCAACCACCCAGCGACTTCTCTTGAGGCGCCTCAAAAGTATGTCCTGCTCGCTCCCTCAACCAACCACCCAGCGACTTCTCTTGAGGCGCCTCAAAAGTATGTCCTGCTCGCTCCCTTAACCAACCACCCAGCGACTTCTCTTGAGGCGCCTCAAAAGTATGTCCTGCTCGCTCCCTCAACCAACCACCCAGCGACTTCTCTTGAGGCGCCTCAAAAGTATGTCCTGCTCGCTCCCTCAACCAACCACCCAGCGACTTCTCTTGAGGCGCCTCAAAAGTATGTCCTGCTCGCTCCCTCAACCAACCACCCAGCGACTTCTCCTCCACCAACCACCTTATTGCCAGTAATTGCCAACCACCCTCTCTCTCCAATCATCTGACTTCCCCTTAATCCCGACCAGCTCCCCGTTCCCCCTTCAGTTCCCATCCTTCACCCACACTGCGCCTCTCACCTCCGCTTCCCTTTCTCCTTTCCCACCACATTCCCCTTCCCTCCAACCCCACGCATCCCATCTCAGTCTTGCTTTTTCCACCACCACAACACCCAAACCCACCCAACCACCCATCACCACTGCTTGCTACTCCCGAATTCCTCTTTCCATCCTCAGCAGCAGCTGCAGCAGCAGCCGCAGCAGCAGCAGCAGCAGCAGCAGCAGCAGCAGCAGCAGCAGCAGCAGCAGCAGCAGCAGCAGCAGCAGCAGCAGCAGCAGCAGCAGCAGCAGCAGCAGCAGCAGCAGCAGCAGCAGCAGCAGCAGCAGCAGCAGCAGCAGAAGCAGCAGCAGAAGCAGCAGCAGAAGCAGCAGCAGAAGCAGCAGCAGCAGAAGCAGCAGCAGCAGCAGCAGCAGCAGCAGCAGCAGCAGCAGCAGCAGCAGCAGCAGCAGCAGCAGCAGCAGCAGCAGCAGCAGCAGCAGCAGCAGCAGCAGCAGCAGCAGCAGCAGCAGCAGCAGCAGCAGCAGCAGCAGCAGCAGCAGCAGCAGCAGCAGCAGCAGCAGCAGCAGCAGCAGCAGCAGCAGCAGCAGCAGCAGCGAGGGCGTGGCCGTGCAGGGCGAAGTCGGTGAGGAGGTGCGAGCGGGCTATGGCGTCGTGCAGGCAGCGCACGCCTCCACCACATCTCACCCCACCACACCCCACCCAACCCACCACTCACCAGCACTGCTCGGCACTCCAGGCTCCCTCTTTCCATCGTCAGCAGCAGCCGCGGCAGCAGCAGCGGCAGCGGCAGCGATTGCATGGCCGTGCAGGGCGGAGTCGGTGAGGAGGTGCGAGCGGGCTATGGCGTCGTGCAGGCAGCGTGTGACGTCCAGCATGGCCACCACCTCGCCGCGCGAAACCACTGGCAGGTGCCGAAACCCACCTGGTGTATGGGTGTGGGGTGGAACGAAGAGGGAGGGAGGGAGGGAGGGAGGGAGGGAGGGAATTTGCATGGGAGGGGTTTGCGACGGGAGGGTTGTGGGAGGATGGAGCTGGGTGTGCGGGCAAGAGCTGTGATGGAGGAGAGAGAGCAGAGCAACAGAGAAGAGCCGAACACGGGTGTGGCGGGTGGGGAAGCGGGAGGGGAAGGGGAAGGAAGGAGGAAGCTTGGTGCAGGCAGCGTGTGACGTCCAGCACCGCCACCACCTCGCCGCGCGAAACCACTGGCAGGTGCCGGAATACTCCTGGTGGATATGGGGGGGGAATGAGATGAGCGTGGCAGGGGTGTGGTAGGTGGAAAGGGCGTGCGAGGGGTGTGGTGTGGGAGGGGCGTGAGGGGAGCATGGGAATGAGGTGTTAGTGCTGTGCCATGGAGAAGGGTCGGGATGAAGGAGAGTGAGAGGAGCAGCAGAGAGGAGATGAAATGAAGTTGTGGGGAGGGGGGAGGGGATGGGCAACGGAGTGCATGCAATGCGGCACAGAGGATGCTTGTGGTTGCGAGGGCGTTGGCTGGAGAAAGGCGGGAAATGCGGGGGGAGGGGGACGAGGGGAAAAAGAGGCGGGGGGAGAAGGGGCGGGGGAGGTGGGGGAAGAAGGGGCGAGCGAGGGAGGAAAGGGGGGGAAATAGAGTGAGGAGAGGGTGATCCAAGATCCTGTCTGGCAATCCTATGAGAATTCATATCCCCATCCTCCTCCAACCATCCTCTTCCCCTCCCCTGCCTCTCTCCCTTTTCCCTCCCCCCCCTCCCTTCCACCACTCCGCTTTCCCTCTCGCTCTTCCCCTTCCTCACCCCCTCTCCAATCTCCCCCTCTCCGATCTCTCCCTCTCTCCTTCTCTCCCCCTCCATTCCCCCTCTCCCCCTTCCCTCCGGATTTCCCTCCACCCTTCCCTCCCCCTTTCCCTCCCCCTTTCCCTTCCTCCCCCCCCCTATCACCCCCTTCTCCCCCTCCTCCCCCCCCCCCCAGCACGCACCGCGCATCATCTTGTTGAGGGCGTCCATGGCGGACGAGCTGATGCGCACAAACTGCGGCTGACGTGTCATGATGACGTGGCATGGCGTGGAGTCCACGCGCCGGCCTTCGCCCACGCACCGCAAGGCAATGTCCTGTATTCCATAGGCATCCACCATAACACCATGCACACCATGCATCATGACCATGCACCATGCACCATGCACCATGACCCATGACTCATGCACCATGACCAATGCACCATAACCCATGCCACATATAGGAGGCATGCATGCAGCGCATACGATGCCCCATGCTCCACGAACAGTGTAGCCCATTCTTCTTGAAACAAGGACCTTGTTGCATGCCACCCACATCACACATGCCATCCATCCCACATTCCACACCCCATACCATACCATAGCCATTGCTGAAACCCATAGCCCATGCCACACCCCATCATGTTGCATGCACACCCCATCATGTTGCATGCACACACACAGCAGAGAGGGCACATGACACGAATGTGAACCAGTAGTCTCACACATACTCCCACCACGCCACTCATGCCTTGCCCTTCCCTGCCACGCCCACGCCATGACAATCCCCAATCCATCGCCCATCTCCCACATGCCACACAGCAGCCCGTTGCGGTCCCACATGCCCATGCCCATGCCATGCCATTCCCCTATTGCCCATCCCACATTGCCCAACCGTTCCCCGACCGTGCCACACCCGTGCAACAGCAGCAGCAGCCACACCCACCCGGTCGGACATGATCCCGCACAGCAGTCCGCTGCTGTCCGTCAGCAGGCACGCGTCCACCACACCATGCCATTCCCATGCCCATCGCCCACCTCCCCCGTGCCACACCCCTGCACCTGCCACCCTACCATCCAGTTAGACCCACCCGGTCGGACATGATCCCGCACAATAGTCCGTTGCTGTCCGTCAGCAGGCACGCGTCCACGCGCCTTGCCGCCATGCGCCTGGCGGCCTCCGCCACGGCCGTGCTGTCCGCCATGATCAGCGCCTTGGACAGCCGCAGCCGCCGCACCGTGCGCTCCTTGCTGCTGCCCCACCACCGGGGGGGGGTGAATGGCGCGCGGAGTGTGCGAGGAAAGGGGGGAGGGAAGAGGGAGGGGGAGAGGGAAGGGGGTAAAGGGAAGGGGGAGGAAGTAGGGGAGAAAGGGGAAGGGAAAGGACGCGCCTGAGAATTGGCTCGGGGACAAGCGGGGCAATGCGGGGACCAATGAGGGTGGGGTGGGCAAAGGGGGAGGATGGTGGGGAAGTAGAGGAAGGAAAAGAACATTTAGGCCGCTAGGATCAAGGTATTTAGGTTCTTTGAGGAGAAGCTCGCAATGCCGCTTCCGTACTGCTTGCCCAGTGCTCCGCTCGTGCGCTCACGACACTCCGTTGGGTGCTAAGAGGAATTTTCGAGAATTCTTAAGGCCGTAAGGAATAAAACGCTCACGACATCCCGCCCGTTGCGTGGTGTTCCGTGCGGAATTCGGGTGATTTTTTTGTCACCCGTTCCAGCCACATCTGGGCGTGAATTCATCTAACGAACACACACGTTCGTACGCACGCACGCACACACGCACACGCGCGCGCGCGCGCGCGCGGGGGTACGCCCACCACCGCACCTGCCGCCGACAGCCCCGCTGCTGCTGGACGGCCTCTTAACGTTGCGGGCGCCGACGTTCCCCGAGCCGCCGCTCGTCGGGCGAGCAGCGCTGGCGGAATCCTCCGCCTGCCTCTGGCCCGCGGATGGCGGAGGCTGCGACCGTCGCCGCTGGGCGCCTGGCGAGCGCGCGGGGTTGGGGGACGGGGACGGCATTGCGCCGGCCGGCGCGGCGGGACCTGGCGGTGCGGCGTCGTCAGGCTTGGACGGATTCATGGCGACTAGTGGATAAGGTCGCGGAGACCGATGCTGCGGTAGTTGATGTTCTCATGAAGTCAAGATGTCATGACGTGACGACTGCATGACGAGGGTGAATCTGAACTGAAAGCTGGATTGGTTTGCGGGGAGGGAGGGAATGAATGAAGAAACCTCGAAGATTGATGGGAAGCTTGCTGATTTGAGGGGGGGGCAATCGCGAATTTTCGTTATAGTGCAGCTCAAACACCAGCGTGCCGTTTGTTTCAAGAAAGTATGTATGGTATGACCACCAGGAAATACCGGAATCATAGGATTGCTTGCTAACTCCTGTTTTCAGACTTACAGTCCGAACAAGATATTGAGATTTATGTGGTGCTACTACGGTATATAGCATCATAATCTAAAGCTGCGAGAGGAACTTGACCGGTGAACAACATTAGTCAAATTAGAGAGCAGTGGCTGATCCGTGGTGCCTTGTGCAATTACAGCAATGTTAGATGATATAATGCATGGAATTAGGTGATCTGCTTTTGTATCAGAGCCTGGTGAACAACATTAACCTCATCTCATCATCCCACACAATTTAGTCTCGCCTCTTGATTGTGTTAAGGGTTATTGCTCTAGCTAAAACAGTGAGCAGGCCGGGTTAGTCACGTCATGTCACACCATGCTCAGAGCATGGTGCAAGCCCTAAGCCTTAAATCCCAAACCGAAAACCCTGAACGAATTAGTCAGAGTTGCAGCAAGCCCCCTCTTTCTTCCTCTTCCTCTTTCTTCTTCCTCGTCCTCTTTTCCTCTCCCTCTTCAGGCTGCGCCTACCCCCGACCGCCCTCACTCTCCTCCCCCATGTCCCACCCGTCCACCTGCCACCACCACAGCTCCACAGCACCATCACCCGTCTCCTTGAACGCCACACCCATGCCATCCTCACCCGCTGCTGCCACCACTGCCTGCTCCCCCACCGTCCCTGCCACCTCTGCCTGCTGCTCCCCTATCTTCCCTGCTGCTTCCTTCTCCCCACCAGTGACCCCAGAAGAACCAAGCTCCTTCTCCTGTACCTTACCACTGATTCCTGTGCCCGCGTCGCTTACCGCTCTCACCCCATCCCCCTCCTTCCTCTCCTTGCTCACCCTCTCACTGTCACCAGTGTCATCAGCAGCACCAGTGGCATCAGCAGCACCAGTGGCATCAGCAGCACCAGTGCCATCAGCATCACCAGCGCCATCAGCATCACCAGCGCCATCAGCATCACCAGCGCCATCAGCATCACCAGCGCCATCAGCATCACCAGTGCCATCAGCATCACCAGCGCCATCAGCACCATTACCAACACAGCCTGCAGCTGCTGCCTTCCCAGCCTCCTGCCCATGCAACGCTACCCCGTCCACCACTTCCCTCCCCTCTCCTCCTTCCCCTCCTCCCTCTCCTTCCCGTCCTCCTCCTCCTCCTCCTTTTCCTCCCTCACCCAATGCCGCACCTGCAAGTATCCAATCGTCCACACCCGCACCACCACCACCCACTGCATTAACAACGTCATCACCACCATCACCCACCTCTTCCTCCTCCTCTGCCCATTCATCCAACTCACACCACACGCCATCGGCCCACACACCTTCCCATTCATCTCCTTCCTCCTCATCCTTCCCCACAGCACCATCCCTAGCAGCACGGCCTCCCCCCAACGTCTTTCCTGCGTGCAACGCTGCCACACCATCACCACGATTGCCGCCAACACTGTCATCGACACTCATGAACCCTGTAATGCCTGTGCCCTTGTCTGTGCCCTTGTCTGTGCCCTTGTCTGTGCCCTTGTCTGTGCCCTTGTCTGTGCCTTCTGTGCCTTCTGTGCCTTCTGTGCCTTCTGTGCCTTCTGTGCCTTCTGTGCCTTCTGTGCCTTCTGTGCCTTCTGTGCCTTCTGTGCCTTCTGTGCCTTCTGTGCCTTCTGTGCCTTCTGTGCCTTCTGTGCCTTCTGTGCCTTCTGTGCCTTGTGTGCCTTGTGTGCCTTCTGTGCCTTGTGTGCCTTGTGTGCCTTGTGTGCCTTGTGTGCCTTGTGTGCCTTGTGTGCCTTGTGTGCCTTGTGTGCCTTGTGTGCCTTGTGTGCCTTGTGTGCCTTGTGTGACCTGCTCGGTTGTGCTGCCTGCACTCACACCCACCTCCTCTTCCCCTGTGCCTGCTGTAAATTCCTCTTCCGCTCCCTCTCCCTCTTTCCCCACTCCCTCTTCTACTCCCTCTCCCGCTCCCTCTCCCTCTCCCCCCACTCCCTCTTCTATTCCCTTTCCGGCTCCCTCTCCCTGTCTTCCCCCTTCTGTCACCACCAACACCCCACCACTCTCACTCACTCCAGTGCTTTCACACTCGTGATCACGTGCACCTTCCTCCACATCTCGTACCCCCATGTCTCCAGCTCCTTCCCCACCAACCACCATCTTGTCTACCCCTTCGCCTTCACTCGTCCCACCGTGCCTCTCCTCCTCCCCTTTGCCTTCCGCCTCCTCTCCTTTCCTCTCCTCTGTCTCGACTAACGCCTTTCCTCCTCTCTCCACGACCTCGCTTCCACTCTCCCCTTCCCCTCCTTCTGAGCCTGTGCCTATTTCTTCTTTGCTCTCTTCCTCATCTTCTTGCTTCCCTTCCTCTCTGCTTCTTCCATCCTCTCCTTGCTCCTCCTTTGTCTCTTGTGCCACCTCCTTTGTCTCTTGTCCCTCCTCCTTTGTCTCTTGTCCCTCCTCCTTTGTCTCTTGTGCTTCATCCTTTGTCTCTTGAGCCTCCTCCTTTGTCTCGTGTGCTTCCTCATTCATCTCTTGTGACTCCACTTTTGTTTCTTGTGCCTCTTCCTTTGTCTCTTGTGCCTCCTCATGTGTCGCTTGTGCCCCATTTGTTTCATGTGCTACCTCCTTTGTCTCTTGTACCTCCTCCCTTGTCTCTTGTCCTTCCTCCTTTGTCTCTTGTGCCTCCTCCTTGGCTTCTTGTGCTTCCTCTTTCATCGCGTGTGCTTCGTCCGTCATCTCTTGCACCTCACCCATGACGTCCTCACCCCCTATCATCACATCTCGGTCCACCATCCCTTCTTCGATCCCCTTCATTTCTCCTTCCACTGTCACCTTTCCGTCGCTCTCTCCCTCCTCTCCCACCTCCCATTCTCCCTCCTTCAACTCCATTTTCCCTATCACGTCTCCTACACCCTCCTCCACCTCTGTCTTCCCCTGCTCCGCTCCTTCACTTTTCTCCACCTCTTCTCGCTGCACCTCTCCTTTCTCTTTTATCTCCTCGTCTCTCTCCACCTCCTCTTCTCGCTGCACCTCTCCTTTCTCTTTTATCTCCTCGTCTCTCTCCACCTGCTCTTCTCCTTTTACCTCGTTTTTTCCCTCTTCCACCTCTCCTGCCTCCACTACCACTCCTGCACCCTCCTCCACCTCCCCACTCCCCTTCACCTCCCCTTCTCTCTTTTCCACCTCCCCCCTCGCCTCCAAAACTCCTTTCCCGCTCACAAGCTCATCACCACCCTCCCCCTCGCCCTCTCCCCCCCCTTTTCTGCTCTCCCCCTCTCCCAGCTCACTGTCACAGCATAAATCCTCGCCCCCGCTCCCACTACCATGCACCGAACCTGTACCAGCCTCTTCCTCCTTACCTGCTGTCTCACTCTCTTTCACACTCTCACTCTCCTCCATGCCCTCACTCTCATTCCCACTCGCACACGTGTCACCACTCCCCTCCACGGGTGTTCCCTGCACTCCTGTCAGCATATCATCTCCACCTGCCATCAACCCTTCACCACCCTCTGTGTCTCCGGTCACAGCCACAGTCGCCACATCTTCAATGCAATTGATTAACCTAATCACATCGCCACCAACCCTCTGCACAATCTCCTCCTCCTCCTCCTCCTCCTCTTCCTTCCTCCCCACTGCATCTCCAATTGCATCGCCCACTCTCTCTACCTGCTCCAAACCCACTTTCTCCTCCTCGGTTCTTCCAGTCTGCCCCTGCGCCCACACTTCATTCAACATGCCATGCTCATCTGTGCATGCCGAAGCCCTCTCGCTTGCCTTTGCTGCTTCGCCTCCCACCCTGCCTTCCGCTTTCACCCCCCCTTCCTCCTCTCTTACTTCCACTGCCGATGTCCCTACCCCGCGCTCCTCCTCTTCCGCTTTCACATTCTCTCCCTCTTTCTCTCCCTCTTTCTCTCCCTCTTTCTCTCCCTCTTTCTCTACCTCTTCCTCTCCCTCTTTCCCTCCCTCTTTCTCTCCTTCTTCCTCTCCCTCTTTCTCTCCATCGTTCACTGCATCATCCGTACTCCCTTCCTCTATTTCGTCCTCCTCCCCACCTATCCATGTCTCCTCACCGCCCCTCCGCACGTCCTCTCCATCCGTCACTCCCTCCTTTGCCTCACTCGCGCCCCAAACACCACCACTCGCTGCCACCCCTGCCAGTGCTGCAACCCCTTCTTTTCCTTCTATGCCCGCTGCTTTCCCTCTTCTTTCTCTTCCACACACTTCTCCTGCTCCTCCATTTGCAGCAGTTGCGCCTGCCACTCCCATTCTACCATCTTCCCCTCTACCTCCTCTTCCTTCTGTTCCTCCTGCTCCTCCTGTTCCTCCATTTCTACCTCTTGATATTCCTGCTGTGCCAACAAGACTTTCCCCACTACGGCCCGTCTCACCACCATCCCACACGGGAATCAGCACAGGATCCGTTACACCCACAGGACCAGACCTAGCAGCATAATCCGGGGCTTCACTATAACGAGGATACTCCACCCATGGTTCCTGTTCCTCTTGCTGTTGCTGCTGCTGCTGCTGCTGCTGCTGCTGCTGCTGCTCTCGCTGCCATGCAGCTTGGTGCGTGTCATAGTAATAGGCATCTCGAAACCCTGCTTCGCCTGCCGCTGCTGCTGCTGCCGCTGCATCTTCTCCTTCTCCTTCGTCTTCTGATGGCAACACCACTGTATCGTTCACTGTTATGCGCCGACCATAGGCTGCTGCTAATGATGATGATACCGATGATGAGGAGGAGGAGGAAGCGGAGGATGGCGCTGACGTGGACGATGATGCTGACGTGGATGGCCATGCAGGCAGGGAAGCTGGCAGTGGATCCGAGGAGGTGAGCTGGAGCGACAGCAGCTCTGCTTGCTGCGCCTGAGGTGACAGAGTGTTGAGCGAGAAATGCTCGTGTGAGGACGCATGTGAAGGCGCGTGATGTGAGGATGCATCGAGAGGAAAGTTAGATGATGAATGAGAAGCAGCAGCTGCTGGCGTGTACGAAGCAGGAATGACCGTTGGTGAGGGTGAGGCCGTGGGTGCGCCTGGATAGAGGGACTGCGCAGGGGGGGGAGGACTTGCAGAGATGGCACCTGCAGGATCTGATTCTTGCTGCTGCTGCTGCTGCTGTGTGGAGGAAGGGGAGGAGGAGGAGGCGAGGGGCATGATGAATCGACGTACGGTGACAGCAGCAGCGACAGCAGCGGCGAGCAGGAAGGGTGCAGAGAGCATCACCATGCCTCGGCTGCCCATGGCAGAAACGGCTGTGCCCAGATGAGGGAGTCCCAGAGGCAACTGAGTATGCTGTTGCTGCTGTTGGTGTCGCTGCTGCTGCTGCTGCTGCGGCCTTTGTTGTTGTGGTTTAGGCGCTGGTGGTCAGGGGATAGGAAAGGGCCAACAAAAAAAAAAGGGGGGGGGGGAGGGAGGGGGGGGGGGGGGGGGGGGGGGGGGGGGGGTGTGGGAAACAGCGGAAAGGGGAAACAGATTAAAGCAAATCGAGAGAGCAGCGCAAATGACTGGGGAAGAGAGGACAAAAAGTAGCAACCATGGCATGGCAGCAGCAAGGTCTTGAAACGCGGCAGTGCAGGTGTAAGAAGTGCCTTCCTCTCAAACACGCTTTTCGCCACACAGACGATGCTCCCCTCCCCTCCCCTCCTCCAAACTCCCCCCAGCCACCTCACCTGCTGCGGTTCTCCATTCCTGCCGATGCCTTGCAGCCCTCGCTGCCGCCTGCACACATGGGAGCACAAAAGAAGTGAGGGGGTGAGGGAGAGGGATGATCATTATGGATTGCAGTTTTGAGGCGCCTCAAACCTTGGCAGCCTTCAATGAACCCTGCACAGCACACATGCTCGCCCCACCCTCTGCCCATCCCCCTAGCGCACCCTCCGCCCATGCCCCCAGGCGCACCCTCCGCCCTTTTCCCAGCCCACCCTCCGCCCCCATGCCCCCTTACGCACGTGCTGCTGGTCGCGCACTTTACGGCACATGGTGGTGCGCGTGGGCTCGTCCCACTTGCCGCTCACAGGCACCCCGTGCTCCTCCTGAAACTGCTCTATGCTCGCGCGCGTTATCGGCCCGAAGAACCTGCAGGAGGGACGAGGGGGAGAGGCGAGGGGCGAGGGCAGGAAGGGGGTTATGGAGGCGCCTAAGAAATCGTTGCAGCCCGTGCTGCTCCTGAAACTGCTCTATGCTCGCCCGCGTTATCGGCCCGAAGAACCTGCAGGAGGGACGAGGGGGAGAGGCGAGGGGCGAGGGCAGGAAGGGGGTTATGGAGGCGCCTAAGAAATCGTTGCAGCCCGTGCTGCTCCTGAAACTGCTCTATGCTCGCCCGCGTTATCTGCCCGAAGAACCTGCAGGAGGGACGAGGGGGAGAGGCGAGGGGCGAGGGCAGGAAGGGGGTTATGGAGGCGCCTAAGAAATCGTTGCAGCCCGTGCTGCTCCTGAAACTGCTCTATGCTCGCCCGCGTTATCGGCCCGAAGAACCTGCAGGAGGGACGAGGGGGAGAGGCGAGGGGCGAGGGCAGGAAGGGGGTTATGGAGGCGCCTAAGAAATCGTTGCAGCTCGTGCTGCTCCTGAAACTGCTCTATGCTCGCCCGCGTTATAGGCCTGAAGGACCTGGGGGGTGTGGGGAGAAGAGGAGGGGTAGGAGGGGCGGGGGAGCGGCGGGTGGTTGTGGGAACGGTGGGAAACGGGGGAGGTGGGAAAGAGGGACGAATGAAGGTGGAAGGGGGAAGGCGGGAGGATGGAGCGGAGGAGAATGGGGGAGGAGGGGAGATCGCATGGATGGATGGATGGCACGAGAAACGGACCAGGTACGGCAGAGAAGCTTTTGGGCAAGAAAACCCGGAGGGGAGAATGGGGCGTTGATGGTAGGTGTGGCCTCTGGCTGCGTGTCAGGGTTGCACGAGGCAGGGAATCTACGATGGGAAAAAAAGCCGTGTCAACCGTACAGGGTGGAAGGGATGGGAGAGGGGGGCGCAATAACGCAATAACGGAGACATCGAACGAATGCTGATGCCATGCGGTAGGTAAGGGTTGTTGTGACATGGCGAGAATGAGCGCACACAGGTAGGCAAGCACGCAAACGAGCAAGCAGGCAGGCAAGCATCCCTCACCCGGTCACCAAGGAAGCATCCGGGAAGAAGCCGAAGTGGAGCAGAGCGCTCTGTGCGTCAGGAGAGAGAAGGCGGGCAGGGATAAGTGGAGGAGAGGGGAGGCCAAGGGGGGAGGGGGAAAGGGTGGGAATGGGAAGAGAGGGAAGGGGGTGAGCGTGTATAGGTGCGGTCTGAGTTTTTAGACTTTTCCAAAGCGGTATGAGTACTCAAGTTCTGGGTCTGGGAAGTCCCAATGGACGGCAAACAATGCAGGCAAGAGAGGGAACTTTGCTCCAGCCCTTGTAGCCCTTCCCGCACGCATCATTCGCCTTTCCGCCTCTTCACTTCATTCCGCCCTTACTCCAGGCATGGCTAGCGTGGAAAGCGGCTGACACCACCAGACATCACATCCCCTTCCCCCTTCACACACACACACACACACACACACACACCCACACACACACACACACACACACACACACACACACCCCCCCCCCACACACACACACACCCACGCGCACCTGCACGTCAGCAACTTCAGGCCCACTGTCGCCCAGGCTCAAGTCATGCAGCAGACACAGATCCGACAGCAGCCGCACCGCCCGCCCCCGCCCTCGCCCCTCAACCCCTCCGCCGCTCTCCCCTCCGCTTCCCGCGCGCCTCTGAACCTCTCCTCCGCCCCTCGCGGCTTCACCGGAGCCCCTAGATCCTCCCGCGTTCTCTCTGGACCCCGAGTTTCTTCGTTGAGATTCCCCCGCTCTTCCCGCGCCGCTTGCGCCGCCCGCGCGCGGAACACTGCCCCCGCTTCCGGTACTACTTCCTCCGCTTGAAATGTCACCTCGTCCGCCAACCCGCGCCCCTTGTGCGCGCGCGCGAGAGGCTGCAGTGCTCCGCTGCGCCGTCGCCGACTCCGCTGCCGACGCGTCGTCTCTCCGCGCCACGGGCGCTCGGAGACTGCGCGACCCCGATCGGGAAACGCGGCGAGATGCGCGGAGTGGTGACGAAACCAAGTACGCGGAAGACGAGAGCAGAGACGATGGGGGAAAAGGCGCGAGATGAGACAGCCTAAGGGTCGGGAGTATAAAAGCGCTCTGGTCGTACGCGCAGGCGGGGCTTTGGAAATGGGCGTTCGGGTTTAAATGGAGTTCTGCAGTGGTGTGCGCGGGGCTTGCGCGGAGGTGGGTGGAGCTCGCGACATGCGACACGGTGTGTTGCAAGGGACCACGGGAGTGCGCTGCGAGCATGGGAGCCATAGCGGCTGGATTACAGCAGAAAAGTTGTGGTGATTGTTCCGTGCGGGGTCGTGAATTCCGATGTTCGGACTCCTTACGGGTGTCACGCGGAATCACTAGCGTTCCTGCTGGGCCCGTACCCCACGTGTCGACCGCTGCTAGTCATAAAACAGAATGCCCAAATGACGCCAAGCCAATCTGCCAAGTTTGACGCAACGAGGAATGCTAATGAGGGAGCAAGCACGAGTTGCAATTTGCGAAGCAATGGAAATAGCTGTTCGCGAAGAGGTGTGTTCCAGCTGGAATGGATGAGGCAAACCAGCAGCGAGAAGCATTTGGCCCGAAAATGCGGCGAGAGGGAAAGCATTTGCGAGTCACGAGAGAGAAGAGGGTGGCCCGAACCAAGCGTAGGTGCGGGAGGGTTAGATTTGGAGGAAGGTAAGGGAGGAGGGGCGCTTCGGAGTTGGCTGAAGGATTTGATGGATGCGGCGCGGCATCTTCTTGAGAGAGGTGAGATGCCATTGGCTGCTACTTGTTGTGGCGGGAAAAGCCAGATTCCGCGTAACGTGCTGCTGACAGATGTTCGCGCACAAACGCTACAAGATACAGTGTGCATTCTGTTTCCATTCTGTGAGTTATTGTAAGGAAATTCCCTTTTCCTTACTTCGCACCTCTGCTCAACGCATACGTCACTGTAGCACCTCAGTCAGCACCGTTACCACTCGCGACCATCGCATCATTCATCATCCCGCCATTTTCGCACATCGCATCCCGACCTCACGGCTCGGCTGGTAACCCGCGCTCCGGGCCTACGCTTCAACACGTTCCCAACCTCAGTCCCAGGCTCGTTGCGCGACCATTACCGTTACCACTGTAGTTACGCTATATATTCTTTGCTCATACCTTCGCTCATTGTACTCTTGCTTCGATAGTGCAATTCTCGCTCGTTCACTCAATTGCACTCGTAACACTTGGTATTCAGAGCCTACGATCCCATCTCGGACCGCATCCACACCTTCACTTCCCCACTATCTCAATTTTTGGGGGGGGGTAGACGTCTCTCAGCGATACAGCACCGCCGCTCGTAGTGCTCTCTCGCAAGCACGCACGGCCACGACCGAGGCTCTCGCTGAGCTTGCCCGACACCCCCGCCATGGCCGATTTCACGCTCGCCACATTGACGCAGGAGCAACTTGATCGTCTCGTGCGTCAACTGGAGGATTCGGCGCTTGAAATCGCGACCCTCACGGCGGAACGTGACTCCGCCCGTCAACAATCCACGATGAACGTACCGACGACATCCCACGCACCAACAAACGCATCTGCACGTTCGGATGAGCCGATCACCATCTCGTCCGGCACACCAACACAACACGACAGCACGGGACAACGCTCAGGCGCAGCCAGTGAGGGCGCCGCCCAGCCGATGCCTGGCATGGGAGGAAACAGGATCGCACCAAGCCCACGGGAGCCTCGAGAAGTCCGTCGGCACGTGGAATTTGCGGCGACAAGTGGCGAACAACCCAACATGGCACCAATGCCGCTCAAGCCGCAACGCTCGCCCTGCTTCGACCCAAGTCAACGCGGCGGTCCGACAGTTCAATCGTGGGTCTTCACGATGAACGTTTTCTTCGACGCCAATTACGTCGAGTCGGACGCCGCAAAGATCCGGTATGCGGTTTCACTGCTAAGAGGCCCCACCATGGACTGGTGGCGAGTCATCGTGACGTCGCCACGCGCCTACGAGCCACCGTCGCACGAGGAAGGGCCCTCGGGTCCAGCTGTCACCTGGAGTTCGTTCTGCGAGACCGCCCAATACAGCACGTGGGATGCGTGGTGCGCAGGACTTCGGGCGCGTTTTGAGCCGATCGCGGCTTCAATTTCGGCGCGTAAGAAACTGCGCACTTGGCGCCAGCTCGGGTCAGTTCAAGACTATACCAGCGGTTTTCTCGCACTTTGCGAGCAGGTCGGCTACATGCACGAAGCGGAGCGGGTGGACCGTTACGTCGGAGGGCTGAAGCCGGACATCTCGCACGAGATAATTCTGCGCGGACTCTCTAACTTCAACAAGATTCTCGCGCTCGCCGAGAAGATCGACATCCTACGCCGACCGAGACCGGGGTCCTATTACGGACATCGTCCTCGGGGACCGACCGAGCACGCCACTGTACACGCCGTCGCAACGAATGCAACTGCGGCACCGTTAAAGGGGCGCTGCTTTGCTTGCAACAGGCCGGGCCATCGCAAGAGCGAATGCCCAGAGGAGCTGAGGCGCCGAGGAGCAGAGCAGGGGAGGGAGTCTCAGAGGCAGGGAAACGCCAGCAGTCAGTAGAAGTTGGGCCAACTACTGACGAGACTGCCTGCTCGCCCAACCACACCGACCCTCACCGAGTCACAGTACCGATTCATGCCATCAATCGGGCTCGGATGAATAAGGAGGGTACAGCGACGGATTGCCCGGTACTAATCTACGCGAAAATACAGGGAGCAGCAGTGAAGATTTTTATTGACGGAGGAGCAAGTCACAGCTTAGTTAATACCGCAACCGCACGGAAATTACAGTTAACACTTAACCGATGCTTACCTGAGATAGATGCACGCTTAGTCGACGGCACGCCACTGGCTATACGGGAAAAGGTGGAGAGGGTAAAGGTCCGCTGCGGAGGGAACTTCGGGTTTACACAGGAAATGCTCGCAACGACACTGGATGGGCACGACATTTTATTGGGACGTGATTGGCTGCGACGGTATAACCCACAAATTGACTGGACGACGGGTAGCTGCACAGTGCGAAGTAGTGGTAACTGGGTCGTCCTACCTCGCTGGCAGCCACCCGAGTCTTCGACGGTCCAGGTCAACGCCATCACGATGAAACGGGCTGTCGCTGCTGGAGCTGACGTGTACGCAGTGGATATCGCATTAGTGGAAAAAGAGGACCGGCCGAGTGATTTGCAGAAACTGTTGGCAGCCGTACCACCCGAACTACAGGCACTACTGAAACGGTTCCCGGGTATCTTTCCGGATGACTTACCGCAAGGGCTGCCACCTCAGCGGGCGCATGACCATAGGATCGAGTTAGAACCGGGGGCACAGCCAACTGTACAGCGCCAATTTCGACTGACACAGCCCGAGCTCGACGAGCTAAGGAGGCAGTTAGATTACCTGTTAGAGAAGCAGTTTATCTGACCGAGCTCGTTACCGTTCGCCGCACCGATACTGTTCACACCGAAAAAAGACAGGGGGTTTCGCATGTGCATCGACTACTGAGCGCTCAACAGGGTAACAGTAAAATCACGATACCCCATCCCCCGCGCCGACGAACTGATCGACCAGCTGCGAACCGCACGAGTATTTTCGAAAATAGACTTACGGGGAGGTTACCATCAAATTCGGGTCGAACCATCGGACTGCGCCAAGACAGCATTTAGGACTAGGTACGGGTCATTCGAGTACACAGTGATGCCTTTCGGGCTGACCAACGCGCCTGCAACATTTCAGATGACCATGAACGAGGCGTTTAGGCCACTTTTAGATAAATGCGTCATAGTTTACCTCGACGACATCCTCGTTTACAGTCGGGACCAGCAGCAGCACTTAGTAGATCTCGAAGCAGTTTTTAAAAATTTAGAGGCACATCGGTTACTCACCAAGGGCTCCAAGTGCGAGTTTTTTCGGGACAGGCTAGAGTTTTTAGGTCACGTCATTTCGGAGGCTGAGGTTGAGATAGACCCTAAGAAGCTGGATACCATAAAAGCGTGGCATCCCCCGACGAACATCACGGAACTACAGAGTTTTTTAGGGTTTGTTAATTACGTTCGTCGGTTCGTCCCCGACATGGCACGCTTAACAGCCCCGCTCACTGATTTACTGCGTAAGGGGGTCCCTTTTACGTGGGGGGAGAAAGAGCATGCTGCCTTCTCTGCCCTGAAAAATGTTCTCTGTTCACCACCCGTCCTACGCATCGCTGACCCACACCGCCCCTTCGAAGTTGTTACAGACGCGAGTGACATCGCCATCGGAGCCGTACTGTTACAGGACTTCGGCAACGGCCTCCAACCCATCGCCTACGAATCACGCAAGCTACATCCACCTGAGCGAAATTACCCGATATACGACCGCGAAATGCTCGCGATCGTGCATGCATTCAAAGTGTGGCGTTGCTACTTGACCGGCGCAGACGTGACAGTACGGACAGACCATCGATCCCTACAGTACCTTCGCGCACAGCCCCACCTCAGTGTCAGAATATTATCTTATTGTTCTAGCCTGTAGTGGGGTGCTCCATAGCGAGTACAACCCTTCTAGGGTTTGCTATTTGTATCCTCATTCTTGCTAGTTCAATCCTCTTTCTTTCTTCTAATTTTGACATGCTATCAGAGCAGGTCGATCCCCTTGGATCGATCCTGTGGGTGTGTCCCCACCTTGCTTCCGCTGCTACTTTTTCCTCCCGCCGTGCGCCCCGAGGCGCGCGGCGGTTTTCTGCCCGCCGTGCGCCCCGAGGCGCGCGGCGGTTCATTGCCCGCTGTGCGCCCCGTGGCGCGCGGCGGGCTTCTCCTCTACGTCGCGGCCCCGCCCCGGCCCGTCGCCGCCCGTGCGCCCGCTCGACGCGGCCCCGCTCTAAGTCGCGGCCCCGCCCCGGCTCGTCGCCGCCCGTGCGCCTGCCCGGCTCGGGCCCGCCCTTCGTCGCGGACCCGCCCCGACCCGTCGCCGCCCGTGCGCCTGCCCGGCTCGGCCCCGCCCTACCTGCTCGGCCCCGCCCTTCGTCACGGCCCCGCCCCTCGAAGCGGCCCCGCCCTACGTCGCGGCCCCGCCCCGACCGTCGCGGCCCCGCCCCTTGTCGCGGCCCCGCCCTACGTCGCGGCCCCGCCCCGCTCGTCGCGGCCCCGCCCCTTGTCGCGGCCCCGCCCTCCAACCAGGCTCGTGGTGGGCCCCTTTCTCCATACCGCCTCCCCCCCCCCCCCCCCCCCCCCCCCCTGCCATTTCCCGTCGCCCGTCGCGGCTCCTTCGGGGGC